GTTGTCTTGTTTCTTATCTGTCTTATTTGTATTATCATACATTTGACCTCCTTGTTTCTATTGACCTGATCAAATGTTATATTTTGCTGCATGTACCTTTTTAAAGTTCTTACCAAATAATCTGAGGGGAATTTCTTGTTTGTTTTTAACTTGTGATGTGTCATTTTGTAAAGCACTTTGAGCTGCACGTGTTGTATGAAAAGTGCTATATAAATAAATCTTTATTGTTATTATTATTATTATAAGACAAGCAGCAACCTCCAGGCCTAAAACAAAACGTGAAGCCAATGTGGAAGTGCCTTAAACATGCATTATCTCTAATAGACAGGAGGGGGCAACTTCACTGGTTGTAAATAAATCAGATTGTATAGAAGTCTACCAGAAAATGAACCTAGTTCTCACCAGATTTCTTACCTCATTGAAAATGTTCCTAATGAGTTTTTAGTCTCAATTGCTAGGTTCAAGTCTTCTTGAATACATCATGACTTTGAATTATGGTCCCATTTAGAGTTGTATAGAAAATAAAGTTCAGGGTTTAAGGCGTTAATGTATGGTTTGGGTAAGTCTGCCGTTTCTTCTTAGAACTTATCATTTTAAATAGTGTTTTCAATTCATGCAAGTTATGTTGCCTAAAACCCTTGTTCAGCGTTTGGTCAAACTGAGCTCCAACGTCTCGTGTCACTTTTGGTACCGAAAAAGAAAAAAACAAGTTGGAAGAATGTCTATCAGCAGGTCAACAGTAACAAAGGGCACGCCTTCAAAATGGTCCATGACTACGTTCATTTCTTAAACACGGTCTGAGGTAGAAAATATAAGAACGATTTTGAAGCAGAGAATGTAGTTTCTGGTTGAGTTAATGACACGGTAAGAACTGATATTGGTACGCCTTCAAAGGAAATGAAAGCCTGCAGTCCACTGATCATGTGCCTGTTCCATTTCCTCAGATGCCATCCTCCTGCTCCTCATCCTGCACTACAACGGCAGCCTGAAGCAGAGCCTCCTCTACACCTTGCTGTATCCTTTCATCACCTCAAATACAATTGTGTTCCCTCTGTAAACGAAAACCAATGACCCAGTGATGCCTTTTACAGTACGTCACGTGTTATTGCCTTAACATAATGTGTTCAGGTTTGTTGGGGTTTGGAGGCTCCTCACTCTAGAGAAGTGGATCATAGATTCGGCCATGGTAATGAATCATTCTAACGTCAATCATAAGTCACAAAGTAAGCAAAGAGAGGTCATCAGTCAGGAGCAATGAGGTGGAGATTTGGACAGGAAGTTATCCAGACTTCATTTCACCTGATGTGTCAAAGGAAGACACACAGGCTTTATGAATGCCAAATAGCTTTGTTGGTTAGTTTGTCTGGGAGAGCGGCGGTCCTTCAACTGCTTTCTATCTGAAAATAAAAGTTTTCGCAGGCTACACAAAGTGTTTTGAAACTTTAGAAACCATATACTGAGTCTGACCTCCACTCTCTCCACAGAGCCTGTGTACATTCATCAGTGCAGCCAGTAAATTTGCCCAGCTGCTGTGCATGTGGAAGTCTAAGGACGCAGGACAGGTTAGCGCCCTCTCCTGGGCAATGGCTACCTTCACATGTATAGGTGAGTATCACACATTGGACATGAAAACAAAGAAGACCTCCCAGTTCCCAACAGAAGAACAGGGGTAGCCACTTTGAATTAAAGTCCAAACTCACTCCACTTTTAGCTCTGTTTTGTTCTCCACCATTGCCTCAATATTGTGGCTCTATGGCTATTAAATGCTCCAACATCCTCATTTGATCAATTAGAATCAAAGAAAAATGTTTATTATCACTTTTTACTGGTTGAGACTTGTGGCTACCGTACAGAATGTGTTTTTTGTCCGGCAGGTGGAAAGAAAACATCCAAAGTATAAATGTAGTCGTTTGTAACTACACTGTCAATTTATTTCAATAGATTCCCGCAAAAATCAACAAAAGTTAGCACGATTTGTCTAAACAGGGTAACAGGGGCGCTGAGCCCTCTTACTTTCGCTCGTGCCCGCATACAAAAATACTGATTTTCCCTCTGTGATGCCAGAAAACAATATTTCTGTTCGTCAAACTTTATAATTACTCCAAAATATGAAAATGGTGTCAAATAGACCGTCAGGCAGCAGAGACAGCTTTGTTTTTACGGAGCTCCAACGTCCATCTTGTATACTGGCAACATGTTGTCGAGATAATTGATATATCTTTATACAAGATCAGCGCCCTCATACTATATTTTTCTAGAAAAAACCCTGGTAAGCGATAGGTAATGCCTTCAAATCTCCACATTATTACATGTCACTTGTTAGACGCTTTTATCCAAAGCGACTTACATACTCAATACTGTGGACAATCCCCACAGGAGCAATTTGGGGTGAAGTGTCTCAGGGACACAACGACATGCTGACTGCAGTGGGGTTTGAACCTGTGCTCCCCTGATCCGAACACCAACGCTCAACTCCACACGCCTGCCATATATGTAGCACTTTCATTCCTATCTATATTCTAAAGGTTATTACAGTGTTTGATCATATAGAATTCAAAGTCTTATTTATGGAACATTGTAGTTCCAAAAACATGGCAGAATGGGGTTTTCTAGTAATGGCTGTTGACTGTATTTTCAGATTTATGTGGAGATAAAAACATATCCAAAATTCACTCTGTCTACAAAATTACTTAATTTTGAATCTGGCTTTATCTTATGATCAGATCTGTTCTGAATATGTTTGCAGATTGGCACAAACTTAAGACAATGCCTTGTTTACATATACAGGCAGTAAGAGAAAAATAAATACCTTTTTGAACATTAAAGCATGTGAACATGTCACAGTAGTAGAGGCACACAATACAGATATTAACCTGAAAAGTAGCATAATAAGTTCAATTATAAACTTGGCAAGTTTCATGGGGATTTCTAGATACACTTGGAAAATTTAGTTTAGGTTAATTAAGTCTTATATTACCCAGAGTACACTAGGATCCAATTTTCAAAAACGCCAATATCCTCCTGTTATCTGTCTCCCTCATGTTAGCATTTCTAATACATTCAGAAGTGCTTAACGAATTTGAAATGTTCTTCTCCCTACAGGACTGTTAATGTAATGTGTTAGTGCATGAATATGTATTGTGCTTTTTACCCTGCTCCTAATTTCATAAATTTGCAATTCCACACTTCATTAATGAAATATAAGACGCTCTCTTTGATTAATGAGGATGTGATTAACGCGGCCTCCTCTTTGTTTCAGCACGGATTTACACCACCACAGTGACAACTGGAGACATGCAGGGTGAGTCAAACTGAATGACAAATGACTGTGGGGTGTGCAGGGTCCCCACAGATCTCTAGAAACATTTCAGAGGCAACCCTTTTAAAAAGATTTGTTTCCTAAATAACCATCAGCATAGTTTTACATGAACCAAGGATTTATTTTGTTATCTGGTGCTTTGCTATAATTTCTTTTTGTATGTGATTTGACCTTTTAATGCTCGTTGTGCATCTTTGTGGAGTTGTGTTTGGTGTCTGTGGTCATTTGTTAGTTTTCTGGTCTTTTTGTGGGTGTCTTTATGGCTATTTTGCATCTCTTTGTGGTCATTTCTGTTCCCTTTTCGTTTTGCGTCCATTTGTCTTCTTTGCATCTCTGCCTATTGGTCTTGTTCCATCCATCCAATGGCTAAATATTTACATAAAACTGAAGTACTTAATCAGTATTGTTATTCACATCAGTAACGGGTAAGTCAACTAAAATACTGTGAAAGGGAAAAGGCACTTCAAACTAATATATAGGCCAAATGTAAACATTAGTAGTAGCGTAATAAACTATGAGTTTCCAATGTGTTTACACGGCTTTCATTTGAAGAAGTATTCATTTTTGCAGAGAAGGTGGAACCTCTCGTTTTTTTGGTAGAGGAAAAAGGTCAACTTTAAATGAAATATGGTGACCATTGTAAACCCTTTACCACCTGTAACTTGCACATAATCAATTCATTATGACAAAACAATATCATCATGTTAAGTGTGTCTACTTATATTCTTTGCTTAAGTATTTGAAATCTAATAAAAAAAAACGTGTCTCTTTGGTCACAGTTCTGGTGCGGTTTGTCGTCATGACGCTGCTCAACATGTGGGTGCTGCTCACCGTGCTCTACTACCAGAGGCAGCGCAGCATCAGCTCCAAGAAGGAGGACTAAAGCTGGAGGGGGACCCTGAGCCGGACTGTCCTGTAAACCAGTAAAGGCAGCTTTCTTTTTTAAAGTAACCCATCAAATGTGCTTTTTTTACCTCAGTTTTAAACCCACGTATCTTTTTATAACATTTCAGTGACAAAAAAGCCAATCCTTTTTCCTACTGTATGTGACAGAATGTAGTGTTATTAGATAAAGAACATTTTTCTATGCAATATGAGAAATACTGTAATCTGTAAAGCTTTCCTTATCTGAACTATTTTAATAAAACATTACGTTGTGGTCATTTGTCTCACACTTTAAAAACCCAAAGTTATCACACACCTTTACAAAATGATTTATTTTAAAAACAGAAAAATAATCCAAAACCAAAAGGCACATCCATGTCTTTATTGTTGAAGTTATTATTATAGAGCCGTTTGGTAGCAAACATGCAATCTGGATGTAGAGCCCTTAAATACAAAGTGGACAAGGCTGTATAAATAATATAATGTGCACTGTATGGCATGTAAAATATAGACTGTGTATATTCATATGTATAAAACATGCTTCTTGGTTAAAGGAGAGCACTCGGCACACACGCACGCACGCACACACACACACAAATAGTTACTCTCCGCCTGCTATATAAGCCACATACACAACAATGTGCCCAAACTCGAGTTTGGTTACTTTTAATACAAAAATATCAGGACAAAACACTTTTAGAAAAACTTTGAATGGAATAGTGCTGCTCAGTATTTGACTCATGGGATATGATTGCATAACCTTCATTGTTTCTGCTTCTTATGGGTAGATTTACGGAGGCAGATAGTTGCAAACACCCATCAACGGCCCAAAACACTTCCATTAGGAGAAACATGCAGCAGCTTCACAAACGAATCAAATATAAAGAAACATCTTCACCAACATGACAATACATGTTTAGCGCTGAGTAAACGAAACGCTGCAAGAAGCTCAAAACACAATACACTTAAAAGTGAGGCACACAGCTAGTTGGCCTGTTCCATAAGTATTCTGTCGGTATACTAGAAATGAGTAGGTTAGCTTGCTAGCTTACAGCACATCTGCAATAATATCAGGACTCAAGTGATGAAAATGTTAAAATATGCAAATTAAACATTTTAGGTAAGTTTCCAGTGACAGTTGGCCAACTTTATTAACCACCGAACGTCAACAAGCGCTCCCGTCCCAGCTGTGTGCGTCACTTTTTACTGTCCTCGTTTCCGTGGTGTTTTGACATGTGTATGGGCATCTATCATCAAGTTGGTGAAGATTTTTCTTCATTTTTTTTGTGTTTTTATATTTGCAGCGTATTGGTAACTTCAGTGCATTGCTCCTGATGGAGATATGTTGGGTCGTTATAGCCTGTTTGCACCTGTCGGCCCCCGTATAGATTCCCCTAAATCCTAAGAGGTGGAGGCCTGAAAAGGCAAACACATGCAGGTTCACTCAGAGGAGTTGGTGATGAGGGCAGGCTTCAGTCAAGTATATTTGGATAAAGTAATACAATGCCTGCGTGTCGTCTCTGGTAAAGTACATTCAAACAACAAACAATGAGTCGAGCTCGTTTCAGAAAAGCGTTAACGGTGCACCCCTTGAATTCAGTAAACATTAACCCTCATAACTGACAGTGCAGGTTTGAAAGATTACGGGGGTTGTGAGGATCTCATGTCTAATCTAATGCCATCTGTAACGAGCAAGCGGTGATCCAGAGCGAGTCAGAAATCTGAATAAGAGGCACTCAAGGAATTATTTGCTGAATCCTGGGAGGAATATGACACTCCTTCCCCTCACAGCTGCTTTGCTTAAGTACCTTATTCAATTTGTGACCCGTGTGAAGCAGAGTTGTGGGAAGCTACAATCAATAAAAGAGTTTGGATAAGTGAGATCAAGTCTTCCGCCATTACAGAACGAGTGTAGTGTTCCCCCTTTATACCCTTCATATTGTTCATTATACACACGGTTTTTTTTGGCCACAAGAATCCCCAAAGGCGGTGAGGAGTTTTTTCTGTCGGGTCCTTCAGTCAGAAAGTGTCCTTGTGAGGTAAGTGTGTCCCCTTGTCGACTCATAAGAGCTCTTTTGTGTTCTGTGGGAGCTGAACGAGCCACTTCAGCCCTCAGAGACAGTTCATAGGTCTAGTGGAGGGCCCGGGAGGAGCTAATACTCTTACAATATATCCATCATGGTGTAGAGATCGCGGGTGCTCAGGTGAGTTTGATTACCCGCTGGAAATGCCCCGAAAAGAAGTTCAACGGGTAAAAAAAGGGAATGCTGACTGTCACAGGCTGAAGCACGGCGGGTGGCTTGTGGAGATGTGATGGGTTCAGTGTGCTGATCTGCAAACGGAGCTTTGTGTATTCTTCGATTTAGGAGGACACCCCCCACCACCACATCCACGATGCGCTGCAATCTCAAGCGTGGTTAACTGGAGGAAGAGAGAGAAACAGATGTGACATTAGACACAGCAAACACTGATCAGAGGATGACAACATGTCCTCACAGGATAGAAATGACACCCAGTGAAGAATCCTGCACTTAGTTTTGAATTGTTGGTAAGATATATTGAATATACTTGGCGTAGCTAATGACTATCACAATTACATGAATTTCTCTTTTCTCAAACCAAATCAATAACAGATTACAGTGCATGACATTAAGGATTTTGGGAGATGGCCCTGTGGCCCATCTAAGCTAATTTACAGATGGCCCTGAGCCCAATAGAGATTGCCCTGAAAAATGCGCGTGGACGAAATGACGCACAAAGGGTTTGGGGGGCCTCCCCCTAGAACATTTAGATTTTTGCAGGTCTTAGATGCTGTCTGGTGCATTCTCTAGACTGAATTATAAGATGAACCACCACAATATTACAATTTCAATTGTATTCTTCATTTCACTTGTTTGTGTTTGCTCCCTTGCATGCCCTGCATAGCTATAAGAAATACTTAAGTTGTTGGTCAAGACACTTTCCATCTGATGAAGGCAAATGCCTTCCCAGATGTAAAAAAGTAGAAAACATTACATTCAGTTATAACTGCCAAAACAAACATTATTTACGCTATTATGGCCCCTGTTAAAAATGTTTGTAATGTTATCTACTGTAAATTGGTCGAAGGAATGCCTCCTCGTCCAGAAGCTGACCGAGCAGCCGAGTGCATCCGCGAAGCACACACAATGGCGACGTCAGAGTTCCCGTTAGCAAGCAAATCTAAATCTCTTCGGTCAAAATGTCCGGTCAAAATAATTTCCCTTTAGCGCAATACCGCTTCAGTTGCGCCACTTATGTGACAGACAAGAAGAGTATGTGACAGACAAGAGTAGTCAATTCTAATGTGTAACACTTAATGTGGAGAAAGAGATGTCCTGTATGGGTTGATTGTGCGTTGATCTGTTGCTAATGCCTCGGGGTTCCGNTGTAATCATCTCGCGACCCCCGTCTTATCTGTCAGACAGAAACCATTATTTATTTTTATTATCATACATTTGACCTCCTTGTGTCTATTGACCTGATAATTTATCAGGTCAATAGACACAAGGAGGTCAAATGTATGATAATAAAAATAAATAATGGTTTCTGTCTGACAGATAAGACGGGGGTCGCGAGATGATTACAAAATAAAAATTGAAAAAAATATGATTTTTTTTAAATCAATTTTCTTTTTAAATTATTATTAATAATGTGTGCATTGACCTTTTTCATCGGCAGACTAGCCATCTGTATAATTTGCCCGCAGCGAGGCTCCCCCCGTTGACAATCCACGAGCGCAGTGTTTCAAACTTTTTCATACCAAGGACCACTTAACCAATAAAAAAACACTCACAGACCATCTAACTCCACAAATATCCAAAAACAATAAGCCTGCTTACCACTCCAACAGTACATAACAGCCTAATAATGACAGCTTAACCTTCTCTACATCGCCTCGTTCACACAGTAAATCAACAATACAAATACAACTACAGATTATATAAGCATTTAGTTCAAATGCGATTAAAACGCTCTCAGGTTTTACACCTCTTATGAAATGTAGACTACATTTATTACAGAGTTTATGTCCGAGCCAACAGACTCTCAGATCGTTGGCTACTGAGAGATATGCAAAATACACTGCATAGTACGACAAAAACCTCCGCTGTGGATTTTCAAAACAAAATACAGTAAAACTATGGTCGCAGGCCCAAGTTTAACTCTCTGAGGCCTGCATGGTCTGCCTACAAAACAAAAATAAAAAACGTTTTTGACAAGCCCCAACAACAGCCTCTGATCAACAACAGAACTTCCTGCAATGCTTCATCGGATGCATATATTAGATAATAATCTCTATCTCACTCCCAACACATCTAAATCTACTTTCAGCATGGATAAATGTTCATAAAATACATCCACTGTTTGTTCTATATGCTTNGCAAAGGTGCTAGTCCACAATACATACGATCGTCGTTGTGTTCTCAATTGAGTCAATATTTTTGATCCAATTACTAATTCTCCATAGACTCAAATAAAACAATTCAAAGTCGAATAAGACAAATGTCCAAGACAGTAGTTGTAATTAAATTATACTAAACAATTTTTGTAACAACAAAGAAAAAATACACTTATAATACATAAATTTAATTTTTATTTTTTCGTTACAATCAAAACAAAGTGTTTAAACAAATTTCAATGCAAATTGTGAATAAAAGGAACAGTTTTTCTTGGCAATTATGGTAGCAATTTTTCCTTGGGCCTAGCTTATTCGTACACAGCTATTATCCTCATCATCTATGTCAAATTTTGTGAATTGCAGGCTCTATTAGCTAATTAGCAAAGTTAATTAGGCTATTCTAATTAGCTAATAGTTTAATCAGCAAACAAGTCGGTATTAGAGATGCCACGAGCATGGTCATGGGACCATGACGGAGGACACAAGGGTTCCACTACGTCTCTGGTCGACGACCCAAACCGTGCGGTCGAAGAAAGGAACCCGACGACTGGGATTGGAAGCGGCCGCGACCTGATTGTACTCCCGAGACGTCGACTAGCGACGGATGAAACTGCAGGGGGGTCGACTAGACCCACCGACCGACGTCCGGAGGGTCGTTACCTCCCATTCTCGCCTGGACGTCGGTACCTCACTCACCACCTCCAGTTGCGTCGTCAGCCATCCGTCCCTTTTGAAAGATAAATGTATTGGTTGATTTTCACGTTAATCCCGGAGTATGTGAAATGACACCTTATTGTATGTCAACAACCGAGTCAATAATCCACTAGGTTGACATGAATGTAAACAGACACGTGGACGGGGTTACCGAGCTGCTAGAAAGACAGTCGAACCTGGTGCATTCCTCCGTCTGAATGTGGTGCACTTTTGCTAAATGTTTAGACAAATTGCTCGTGTTACCGCCCTTATATGATAAACTGTTATTGCACTTTTGGTAACGAGCATTGTCCACATCGAGACGGCTAAAGTTTAACCACACCTCGGAGCGCGTTCTCTCCGCCATCTCCTGCGTGTGTGTGTAAACTGCCCCGCCCCCTCGCAAGCAGGCGGGGGAGAGATCTCTCGTCTGAATTGGGAAGATCGAAAATACATTATAGACGCATTTTGTAGTCATATTGCATATTAGAAACGGAGTTGGCGACACTAAGACTGCGATATAATGTTTATGTAGCAATAATACATATGACATATGTTTTAAATGTCTCCTGTACCCATAAAAAAGAGCGATAACTTTGGAGTTTAACAGGGTGTAGAACACATGTGATGACGTCACCAACGAATCGACGACTGAATTAGTTGCCAACTAATTTGGTAATCGATTTTAATCGATTAAGTCGATTAGTTGTTGCACCCCTAGTAGAGATACACTCAGTTTGCGGTCTATGAGTGGAAGAGCAGTTGATGATTGTTCTGAAAGTTTGCGTACATTTCAGTTGTTGCTCTCAAATAAATCATACATTGTTACAGATATGTGGAATGACTAATTAAAGAGCCAGCCAGACAAAGACTGTGTGCTTTTTAATTAGTAAACAACGTGTCTGTAATAATGTATGATTTATGTGAGAGTAACTGAAATTAAAGCATGCACCCATCACACCAATAACAATTCATTATTTTCAGTAAAATGTGTATTTTGAACATACACACAAAAATAACGTACATTTTTATTACCATATAGAGAAGGGAAGTGAGATCTGATCACAAGTGGAGATCCATACCAGGTAAAGAAAATGACGTACGTTCACTCGTTACTGCAGTTAATGCCATAATTGGCCAGAATAGCCAGAAAAAAACTTTTGGCTTGCATACTGCGAAATGTGACCGGATGTAGTCGGATTTCATGGCACTTTCCGCATACTGTATTTGACATTCCATGTATCGACACCAGAGGTCGCGTTAACCGAATATTTTCTGAAATCTGAAAGCAGTCCGTCATTTTGACGGATTAGAACAAACTCAGAACAGCGCCAAAGCTTCCCGGCAACGAGGCTCCGGTGTTATGCATGCCCTCCAAAAAGGAAATGATATTGTTTCCAAACCTAACTTTGCCGTACAAATCATTGAAATGTTGTCCCCCCCATTGACAGTTAACGAGCGTGCTCTCCCCCTCCGTCAGAGTTGTGTTCAGACCGACGGGTAATAATGGATTTTGACAGACATTTTTAGATCCTATCCGTCAAAATGACGGGCAGCGAAAAACTCTAGTGCAACCTCTAATTGGCACATACTAAATATTTGTTCCTGGCATACTAAATGGTTTTGTTGTGAACATTAAGTTAGTGATACAAGATTCTGTTGTTTGTACACTTTAACAGCCCAGCTGAGAGTGTCAGTACTAACCGATGCCCTGGGCCCCGGCCTTGCAGCAGTAGTGCAGGAGGCTCATATCCGTAAGACCGTCTCGATCATTCACACCGCAGCCTCTCTTTAGGATCTGTGCAAAGACAAGAAGTGCAGTGTGTCAGTGGGACTGCTAGTGTCACTGTGCACAAGTATTACATAATAGTCTATGAAATTAAACTCCAGGGCACTGATCTGATGAATGACAAGCAAGCTGTTTCTCTTTTAACTCTACTCATCCTTAAATGTGGGCGAGAATTGTTGGGCTTGAAATGAGGCATGTATTTCTCAAGGGTAGCAGTTATTAAGTGAGACAGGGAGAAAATTATCTTCAGTTTTACTATTGAGACAACTGCTTCCCTGCCCAATTTACTGCATTGCAGCTATTTTGTGTAACTCTGCGTGGAGGTGCTTCAGGGGTTGGTTGGCAAAAGTGAATTTTGTTTTGAGATATTCTGTTGCTTTCAGTTATCAAATGTGTGTATTTGGGAGGTGTGGCGCAGTGGATAGAGCCTTGGTATGGGGATCAGGGGGTCACAGGTTCAAACCCCACTGCAGTCAGCATGTCGTTGTGTCCCTGGGCGAGACACTTCACCCCAAATTGCTCATGTGGGGATTGCCCACAGTATTGAGTATGTAAGTCGTTTTGGATAAAAGCGTCTAACAAGTGACATGTAATGTATTTAGCATTGCTTTTTATTGACATGTGACTGATTCAATGAGTAGTAGTTTGTATACCTAGAGCACATAGACAGTGAAAAATGCTGGATGGCGTCACCTCATTGCCGATGAGGTCAATGTTCTTCTGGACCTGGGGCACCCACTGCCTGAGGACAGCGAACAGCTCTGGTATGGTGGTGCTGGGATCCAGGAGAACCTCTCTGCACTGCGGCTCACTCGGGTCAAAGAAGGAGAACTCTGCAGGTGGTGAGATAACAGAAAACAACAGATTAACTCAAATGCAACTCAAGTGAACTTTGGACCTGGGAACCTAAAGCTTTTTGATCCTTTCTCACCAGTGTGTGCATGTGAACAGAGCCTTGAGACTCTGCAGCACAGACATACATTAACTTTCTGCAGCACACTATTCAATCGATTCAATCAAATTAGTAATCTTGGGAAATGCCCTTGCTGTGCTGCAGAGAATGCAATCAGATGTGACAGCGGATAGCCTGCCGTGAACCAAATGAAGCATTACCGAGCACGACGGAAGATGGAAACAAATGGGCTTGGCCTTTCACAGTGAATGCCAAAGCTTATCATGTAACCTGGTTCAAACCTGCTGCCTTTGCTTAACCGACTGCATTCCATTTAAGACTACATTATCATTTGTGATATTCTGGTCTACATTACATTCAAACGGATATCCCCTTTACCTGTTTTGGATTATATAAATCATATGTGAAGCTGTATGCTCTCTGTGAAGCCCACTGAGCAGCATGAGAATACAAACGTATTTACAATTTGAAAATGTAATAGTTTACAGAATCAATCTGTAAGAAATGTGTCATTACTTTGTGTTTAACTTTCACATTATAAAAAATGATCAGCAAGAAATGAATCCCTGTCACCCTTCACTGGAGTCAGTGGCCAGCACAGTTATTGAGTGCAGTCTCAGGACTTAATTAGGTGCTGTCTGCAGGGGAATTACCATCATCATCATCATCATCATTGATTATTTCTACTTAAATGTTGATTAGTCCCACCTAGTGGGGCATTGATGAAGATCAACAATCGTGACTCATTGATAGTTTTGAATGTTTTCAGCTGATCATTTTCTTTATCTGCATGATTATAAGTCATCGAGGTGTTCATTGCAGTGAGGGTTTGAACCTAAACTCCACTCAAAAGGAAGGCAAACAGTTTTGTGGCCACAGGGAAAGTGTTACTCTGCAAATAGTCATAATATTAGTGTAGTCTAATATTTATTTGCAACCATACAGGAATAACAATTTGTACACAAAATGAATAGACATGCAGAGAGATAAAAGCTTTAATGTGCATTTAAAATTTGAATTTCAATGTTATGAATGAAACTGTGAACGGTCTGTTGCAGCCCTAACTGAATGTGTGCATGTGTGTGGAGGCTCACCGCAGTCACTGGGCATGGGTGCAGAAGCCACCTGATGGATAATGGGCCGCTGATGGGAGGAGGCCCAGTCCCGCAGAGCGTCTCCCTCAACAGGCTTTGAAACATCCTCCTTTGTCATCTCCCCCTCAGGGCCTGGGACAAGAACACAATCAGGAGACTTATTCTGAGGACTCCAGGAGCTCTCACTTTACCGCAGCAGTGAGACCTGGTTTTAAGAGACATGACTTAATTGAAGATTTGAGTTGATCTGCCACCATCTTACTAAAACCGTCAGACTCTAAATGTTCCCTTTTTTAATTAAATCAGAAAATTGGGACTGATTAAATCTCAAGTGGAATATGCTAGTCAGACACAAACACCCAGGCAGTAAAATAGCACAGCATTATTAGGCTTAATATTGTTATTTAGTGTGACAGTCTTTTCATCTTCCTGAAGTATATTGCAGAATATAAATACATTTAAAAATAACTATAACCCACGCTACTGGAAAAGTAGTACAGCCAATGATATTGTAATATGAGCAATATGTGTGTTCTTTACACAAGGTCAAATGTGATCATGTGTGGTATGGTAAATGCATGAGGCTTTAAAGGCAAGTTTGCTCTATCAAACCAAAACCATTTGATAATTCGGCCTAAGAATTATAAACACAGAAAGTCTGAATCTTAAAAGAAAATGTGTCAATTGAAAAAAGTGATTGATGATTTAGTGAAGATTGTTGTTTGCCTAAAGACATACGAAGTATATAGTCAAATGAAGATATACTTATGTACTAGCCTAATCTTAGAAACACTTACACTGTAAAGGGCTGGGGAAAGGATAGAAAACATATGGAGGTTGAACTACAGAACGCATGAACACACAAGCACACACACCTAAGCCTGGCAAGGAAACACTGAGCCTCAAAGCTTCTAAACCAACCAACACTCATCACAGCCATCTTCTCCTTTCTCCTCTTTCTGGTTGATCTCCATGAGAGCTTTCCAGTGCAGCTAAACTCAAATCAAGAGACACACACTGGACCCCTAGAACATCTAACCAAGCTGCTTCTCAAAATACCAGTAGTCCTCTCCTCCACCCCTCTGAATAGGCCCTCCTGTTGTTCCCCTCACTCCCAGGTCCAGGGGCTATTTGCAGCTAGTTCTCACTTCTGACTCTCCCCGTCTGGAATGTCCCTCTCACTTTCCAGTCGTGTGCTCTGCTGACCGCACCACCACTTCATCTGATTAGTCAACCATAAGACCCCCGATGCAGAGAATGTGTCTGTGGGGTGACAGGGCAAACAAACACAGCATGAAAGAGCAGCAAAGTGGTGCTCGTGATTAGGGTGGATGTCCTCCACCGTAAAGGCCAGTGTCCAATCCCTCTTGACAGCAAGCGTTCATCATATGAAAGCACGCATTGGCCCAACTCACTGAATCTGTGTCAGCTCCAAAGGAGAGGTGTAGCTGAATCTCACTGTGACCTTTCAAAAAGACATTTATTTAATTTTTGAGTTATCATTATATCCTAATACATTATTTATTTTAGCCATATGGGAAATGTTTTAGAATAAATTATTTGTATGCAGTTAAATCCCATTGTGAAAATGAGAAATCACTCAGCTTTAATGTTTAATGGATTACAAAAGTAAGGATTCCCTTGTGGACTAAACCATTTATTTTCCAAGTACAATTGCTTTGTGAGGACTGGCTTCAGCAACAAGAGGTATAGATCATAACAGCAGAACATCTCATGAATGCCACATAAACCAATACAGACTGTGTCTCATGATGCTGGGCCAATCCAGGCCCTAGTGGTCCTTTGGGTCTTGCACGTGGCAGTGAAAAGTTTGTAAGTAAGAAAATAAAAGCCCATCCTTGAACCGACAGCCTCAAGCGTAAAGGCTTTATTGAACACCTCATGGAGAAGCACATGCACTTACTAGGTGTTTTCCATTTCACCTTATGAAATAAAGGACTGTAGATAGGGTATATGCAGGAATCCTGAAGTCAAATGTAATACCTTTTAAGACCCTTTCCATACATTTTGAGACCTCATCGCCACTTTGAGTTCTAACCGGTTACATTGGCGACACACTTTACCTCACATTTACTATATACAGTATTGATTGTCCTTCCTCCTTATCTGCCAACCATTTGGACGCAAACTTGCATTTCCCCATAGCGATGTTTAGCAACCGGCGTAAACGGACCTTCACGCGCTGTCAAGCAGTGAGCGTGCGATGTCCTGTTCAGATGACGTCAAATCCAACGGGATGCCATAAATAAACTACACAGAATCACACTACACACCTACGCAATGATTACATTCAGGCAGGCTGTAGAATACAACCTCTTTGGACAATTTATATACTTATTGGAAACAAGCTACAAAATGTAATACATTGGAAAATGCCCTTTAATAGCCTTAATTTTCGCTAAATTGATTTATCAACTTTTAATACTTTTTAAGACCCCGCGGACACCCTGGTAGAAGGGTGTTGGAAGAGGTGTGGGAACAGTATTTTGGCAACTCGGCTAATTTTCTGAAATACGGTCTCCATATCTCTAAACCACATAGTTTAGACGTTTACTATTTGACACATCACAGCATACACCAAAGCTAAACAAATAGAGAAACAGCATGGTACTAATTGTGATTATTTCTAATACCTGAGCGGATCCCCGTCAAATCGAAAACATAAATTGCACTTTAAAGAGGCCGTAATGCTTTTGAGGGTTTCCCCTCTCCTGTAGTGTGTTAAATAGGTTTTTGTGCATGTTGATGGTCTCCAAAGGCTAAAATTCCAAAGTTCCCTCCAGAGGGAGTTTCTTTCCCAGACACTCCTCCCTGCCTGAAACACCTCCATCTAATTTGTTTACTTCAATAACATTGTGACATCACTATGTAACACTCAAGCTTCTATTGTCTAGCGCTCCAACTCATTGAACATGATATATCGGCTAAAGGGTGGGACATCTCTAAGCGGTCGACCAGTCACAACAGAGCCAGCCAGCTAACCAATCAGATCAGACTGGGCTCTGGTTTCAGACAGAGTGTGAAAAGAGATGCTATTTTGAATCATTTATTCAGCACCAACTTATAGATTTGTTGTGATGCATCTCTGAGGTCACTAACTGTCTAGAAATTAGGACATTGCAGTGTGAATTGGAACAATGGCCCACTTTACCCATAAGCCTCTCTTTGTTTGTCTGACCCATGATATCACCCTGCTCCCATCCTTGCAGCTAACAAAGCAACCATACTCCTGTCACATATTTGACTGATAGTTTAGAGCACATGTGTCAAACTCAAGGCCCGGGGGGCAAATCCGGCCCGTGGTGGATTTAATTTCGGCCCGCAGGATCATTTCGAATGACTATTAGATCTGGCCCGCCGGTATATTGCACGCACACCTTCACTCAATCCTGAGGATTTCCTCAGCTCAGAGCCTGAGCCCAAACTTGATGAACTTGCACCCAAGATGAGATGAGAAGTATCTGGCTTGAACTAGCATCACAGAGCAGCAAACTGAGTTTCAATGTTTCCTTCTGCACTTTTTTTCTTGCGACAACAGGGCATGTTTGTTTTTTTCTTTGAGGGAAATAGTTTTTTGAAGCTGTTGTTGGCCTGTGGAAAAATGTAATCATAAGAAATGAATCAAAGTTGCAGATAGATCCATAAGAAATTAATGCAACTGATTAATTAATGTTTAATGTTGTTTTTATAGGCAATCATTTAAGCTTTGTTAGTTCCAGGTTTAATATGTGCAATAAGTTCATTTCAATACGTTTTGCAATAAACATTGAACCAGTCCGGCCCTCGAATAGTACAGATTTTTTTATGTTGGCCAACTGTGTATTTGAGTTTGACACCCCTGAGCAATGTGGCACCCATCGCTATTTCACTGCTTAACCATCCAACTGTGTGTGTGTGTGTCAATCATTTAAATTCCACGTTAAACCAACAATCATTACAACAACGTTTTTGGAAGAATTTGGGTAGTGAACCAGGATTCTCTCAGAATGATAGTTTAAAAAAACCAATGAGGCTACTTAGGTAAAATATATGAAAAATTGTGATTTTGTTTTTGTTTGGAGAGGATAACGTTTGTAAAATAAGCCTTTTTGAAAGCCGACATTGGACTTGTCACTGAGCCAGCATGCACAATAACAGAACCCTGGAACCAACTCTCTAAAATGGAATGCATTCAGTTTCTATGTCATCAGTTACACCTGTGAAACTACCTGGTATGACGTTGAATAATGTCTATTGAATATCAGAACCACAGAGCCCCTAGACACAAATGGACTATCAACACAGGTGTTTCCACTTGGCATAATGAAGCCCCCCCCTGCCATTTGAACTTGTACTTAGTGACATCCTACAGTTCCCAGCATAGCTCCAGCCCACCTGAGGGGCGGTCTAATCAAACACAATATTGAAAACACCTGTGTGCATCCCACTAATGCACTGCCAACAACAATCTTATTAGCTAATAGTTATACAAATATAATCTTAAGTATATTACGTTTATCTAACTGCTTATTAAAACCTTTAACCAGGGTGTTTTAGGTATCCACCTATGATGCAGCGTATGATACAGGTAGCCATACTAAATGATTAGTTAAGCTAACTTACTTACTACTTGCTGGTCTCACAGGTGAGCAGCACCTGAAGCTTACCAAATGTCTCAACACTTATTTAGCCTATTTCCCCTCAAGTTTGGCTTTTAATACATTTTATTTATCCTGTCATTAGCTGAGAGGAAGGTGTTAGCTGGCTAGCTTATGTTCAACACCCTGCTCGTACTTGGACAGCTACACTTTCGTGGTATTTGTTTTAGTGCATGTGTGCTACATATTAGCACTTAGCGGCTACGTCTTTAATGCTCGTGCGTTTTGGAATAAGTTGCCCAATGGAATAAAGTGCATTCTGTCTCCTGTCCACTCACGTTAGCTGCACAGAGGTAATGCTGTCTAGCATCAATACTGTGTCAGGCATTCTACCAGCTTAAAATGCCATTTACTACTAGAAATAGAAACACATGTGACGTTCAGCTTACGGATAACAAAAGAGATTAACATTACCTTGACCTTGCTGCTCTTTTTAATTCCCTCATGGGGAAAATCATCAGAAAGTGAGTACCGGAATTAATTTCCGTAATATGCCCAGTGTGTGTCCTGCAAAGCTGAGGCACATCCTGTTGTTGCATTCAGGTTTCAAAATAAAAGCGTGTGATTTCCGGTTTTCAAAATATGTGTAATATACAGTCTATGTTAATAACATTACTCTCTTTATAAATCTCAGGAATAAATTATATGATAAACAAATGACGAAGAGCATTAAATATGCCCTTATTTAAAAAATATAATTTTGTTAACATCCTGACCTTTGTGTGACAATAGGCCTGTGGCCTTGTGTGACAATAACAAAGGAAACGTTTTATTATTTTTTTAACAAGTACATTTTAATTTGAGAATTCACAATTGCTTCTCTTAGAGGAATGCATGTTTCACTGGATCTGATTGATTTCCTTTAGAGCCCAACGAATCCACAGAACATATGTTTAAATGCAATGCAATCCTATGACAATGACACTTGCAAGTAAAGTGGAACAGAAGTGGACTGTACATTAGGTTACTTTTAAGTAAACATCCAGCCTTATCCTTGGGGATAATTCCACACACATAATCTATATTCCTATCCAGCAGATGGTCATTCCCATCAGCAAAAACACGTGGGTTTGCTATCCTGGCTCCAAAATGGTGGAATGAGCTCCCCATTGAAATCAGGACAGCAGATCACATCTTCCGGCGCAGACTGAAAACTCATCTCTTTCGACTCCACTTCGAGCGATAGAATTACTAACAAAGAACTGCTAACAGAGCACTTATATACTAATAAAGGGCTGGCTTATCTATAGCCAGTTGAGTAGCATTTGAAATGTTTGGCTCTATGAAACCTGATGTACTTATATGATTCTGTTTTCTTCAAGGTTGTATCTTCCTGGTCGAATGTACTTACTGGAAGTCGCTTTGGATAAAAGCGTCAGCTAAATGCAATGTAATGTAATGTAATGTCATATCACAGGGACAGGAGTTTGTGGTGCGCAGAACATTTCCCTTCGACTGCGTATTGAACTCAGTGGGGTTCCCCCATACCTGAAGGCCTTCACTGCATGAAGCTGCCTCTGAATAAGATCTTTCCATTTGCTGGAAACTGATGCTTATTTTTCGGGTATTTGGGAGCTAGGGGATATTTACCCTAACCCCATACTGTTTGATGATCCTCAACACACAATAAGACCAACATAAATTTCTTGTGACAACTGTTTATTCAAAAATACACAAACTATCAGCCATCAAAATGTAATGAACATAGAAGGACTACAAAACAAACAGTTTAAATTATAAAAAAAAATAAAAAAAAATAAGAATGATTTGTTAACAAATTGAGCGCATGTTATTTACTGATATGGATTCGTTTTTGGTTAAAAATGTAGGCAACTCACAAAAAATAAATAAAATAAATGTAAACACACTTAACAATAGGGTGTATTCAAGAAAATAAGCTTTTTATGAATTAAAAATATCCCTAATAAGATAATAAGGTTCAAATCTGTTTTTATCACAATGAAAATGAGGGATGGGTACTTTAAATATTAATTGCATGTGTTGTTTTGCACAATATAATATAATCCCAAAGCCTTTCCAAATGTCAACACATAATGTGGGGGCAACCAAAAAACTGTGCAGATTCTGACCTGCTGTAATTACCTGTAGTTATCCTGCAATAGCCTTGTTTATGGTGGCTTGTAAACATCTTATTGTGAAAGTATTGTCACTTGACCTCAGCTGGCGCCAGAACACGGTTTCCATGGAAACGTAAACAAATCGGCTGGCAGTGATTTCTCTTCACACTCACTGACTGAGCACAAACCACCACTTTAATATAGCTTCCAGGCGAGATGGACATGAACAATGTGAGGCGCGTCTCCTCTGCGGGATACCGGTTACCGGAGCGAGCCAGGCCGAAAACCACCGAGCCTCCCGCGGACCGGGACCGGGGCCGCCTCGGGACAGGAGCCGCGGGACCCGGGTGGAGGAACCCAGAGAGGAGAGACCCCGTGAAGCAGGACCAGGTGTGGAAGGAGCTGGTGTGGGGGGAGAGGAGAGGAGTGCGGGAATGGTGAGTGGGGAAATATTAGGGGCAAAATAAGTCCGGGGGGGACGCTCACTTTTTTAGTCTGATGTTGATTGGACTACAAAAGGCTGGTTTAGCTGGTCAGACTGGTCAGACTGGTTTAGCTTCAGTGTCAGTATGGCTGTCTGGTCAGCAAAAGCCAAGCCAAGCCAAGATCATAATGAAGCTCAACAGCAGCTTGAGGAAATGGATGAATGAATCATACTGAGTATTGAGAAAAAAGTAGATGTCAATCAAATGGAATATGAAAAGTGTATAAATGAAATAATAAACAAAAATATATGCAACTTACGGAAAATTATCTTACAAAAATATATAACTTTGTAACGTCAGCTTTTTGTCATATGATCAAATTTGTCTAAGCTACAATTTGAATTTATTTGTCTTTATTTGGAACCACTTAGAAGACTTTTACTTGTGTTATATGTGACAGTTACCAACGACAAATATAAGATTTGTCACTCAAAGGTTCACTATTACATTCAAATGTAGAGGTTAAACATTGTTCAGTATTGTTATACAGTAAGCAATGTTCTATGTCTATCCAAAAGACTAATCAGAAGGGGCGGTGACAAAACAAATGCATAACAATGTATGGCTCTGGAGATAAGATAAGATAAGATGGTACTTTATTTATCCCAATTTGGGAAATGTTTGTGTTGCAGCAGCATAAAAAGACATGGCATTGTACAATAAAAATGTAAAAACAAGAAATAAACAAGAAAGTAGAAAATATACATGTTGAATTTACAAATTAACAATAACAAGATATAAAGCAAGGTATTATAAAGTATGTGACAGATGGAATATTAAATATTAAACTGAATATATAAATGTAAAATGTACAGTGTGATTTTATTCCAATAAATGATATTGAATAAATTATTATGAAATCCCTTTAGTTATCATTTCATTAACACAATGGAGATGAACAAATGCATTGCTTTCCACAGGGAGAAGAACTGGAATTTCCTCAGGGACTATGATCAGATGGTAAGACTAAATGTGTATGTTGATGAGATTCCTGTGAAATAAATGCATCTAAACACCTTTTCAGGCGCTGAAACTCGGAATATATTCAAATGAATATGCAGTAATATTTCCATGATGTTTGTGCATGGCAAACACGAGAAATATTGCTCATTTTTGTTGTTATCTAACAGTGGGGCAATTCCATGGCTGACTTTGGTTAATTTTCACATCATTTGTCAGGATTTGTTCCCTTTAATTATTTTTAAATAGTACATCAACCTTAATAAAAAATGTCTTAATACTCAGTAAAATACAAATGTTTATGCAGTATTGAAAACCCTCCTATTTCATAACTTATTTCAGGACACATGTCCCTGATTATATCCCTTGCTTTGGAGCCATATCACAGCCGAATGCTGCCAACAACCATGTGATCTCTGTGTGTTTGCAGGGGCGGCTGAAGCCAGAGGAGCCCTTACCCAGCAACGTGACCCTCTTCTCTGACCGCGTCCCCAACACCACCAACCAGATGTTTGGCAGCAGGCTGTCCACTCCTCTGGGCAGCAATCTGGTCCAACTGGACCGGCTGCTGCTCTGGTCTGAAAGCAACCACCGCCGCAAGCTGGAGCCAGAGCTGCTGCCCTGCTAGAGCTCTGAAGACCAGACTCCTGTCATCAGGACCTGTGCCCATCAGAGCCAGACCGCACTGTCCTGATGCAGGGCTAAGATGGGTTGGCATGGTGTAGCACAAACCTTAGTAAGAGACAGACTTTGAAATATCAGGTGGAAGCTAGGACTAGCGAGATGATTTTGCTGTCCTACATCTGCTAATTGAACAGTTATATCATCCAATGATCCACAGAAGTATATTCATTTATTCATCGGTTTAGCAAAATGTTCCATAAGACCGGGATAGAAGTTTATGTTGAAGGCCTTTGCTCAGCGGTGAGGTGAAAAGGGATATTTGATTCATGTCATTGGAGCTTCAAATGTTGTCCATATTGAATTTGAAAAGCTTGTTTGATCTGGATTGGTCATTGCAATAAAGCTTTTGCATGTTAATGTTTGAGTGTCCTGACATTATTTTGTTGTTGTACATAGATCCTGTTAATCCATACAGCAGATTATAGAAGAGTTTACAGATAGTATTGAGTATTAGTGCTTACTTTGACTTACAGTAGGACCTCATAGTGAAAGTTACCAACATGTTGCACTATGTGTAACTTTCACTATGAGAAGTTACCAACATGTTGCACTATGTGTAACTTTTACTATGAGGTTCTAAATGTGTCTTTGTCTCAAGTTGAAACACAGACTCATTCAACCTGAATACAGGAAGATGGAAACTTTGCATGTTCCGAAATGAAGACTTCAAATACTTTGGTCTAACGTGTCAGTACTTAACAGCCAATAAGATTTCAGTGGATGTATGCGGAAGTGAAACAAGATGCCAGCTGACTGGAAAATTCACAGCATAATAAAGGAAATAAAACAAGTTTGCCTTCAAAATAAGAGCATACATTTCTTTTATAAGAACAGTGTGGGAAAAGTTATCTATAATAACCTTTAAATCATTATTTATATTTGCGCAAAAAATAAAACACTAACGACAATGAAGATTGGTATAATAGCTATAGTATACCATGAAATATCATGCCATTACTTTGCTCTAAATGAGAGTAACAAATGTAATCTGGTAATGCACATACTTCTATGGGAATGAGTGTTTGTAAATTGGGGGGAATTGAATATCATATACATTTTTTTAATTTAAAAATAATTATATAATGATAATAATAATAATAGTAATAATACTAGTATTATTATTTATTATTATTTTATATATTTTTGGTAATATAACTGGGGACTGGAAATACATTAATTAATATTTTGATATTTATAAATGTCACCTTTAGTAGTATGGAGTAGCTCTTATTTTGAAAGGACAAAGGGGAAGTCTTTCCTAAATACATATACCTTGACACTGGTGACAACGCAGCAGCATCTGGCTGCCACTTTTAGCCATATCGTCGGAAATCTTACAAGTTTTAGGTCACATTTAGTGTTTAACAATGCAGTCCGACACGCTGCTGCACGCGGCTAACTTCAGCACCCTGCTGCTGTGCATGGTGCTCAAGTTCCCGCAGATCTTTGCTCTGATGCGGGCCAAGTCCTCGGCAGGAGTCAGCTTCAACAGTCTACTCCTCGAACTGCTCGGGTATGTGAGTTTTCACTAAGTGCAGTTATTGATCTTTAAAATGTGCAATTTATATGCAAAGTTAAATCAATGGTATCTAAAGTTTTGAGGTAAGCAGTGCATTACTTATTATTATTAATGCTGACGGATGTGATGCTGTCTTCCTGTTACCGGCTACTTCTCTCGTGTAAAGAACCCCGCCTTTAAACCTATGCTCCAAACTCCATTTAAAATGTTCATAAATCATTATTAATTAGATTTTAGGAAAAGGTTAATATGTCCTTAAATTGTATATAAAACGATACTTAATCCTTCTTTCATAATGGTAAATTCGGCATACATTTTAACCACCATACCTTTTTATGTAAATGAAAACTCCTGTATTTTAGCTCCAACAACCTCACTACCCCACTGTTTGCCTTAGGTAAATTAAGGGTATTCACGAGCACACCCTAAAAGTAATTATGTTGCAAGCACGAGAATAAAAAACCAGTTTTATTTTCAGTTTGAGTGTAAAATAGGACAGTGAATTGTCCTGACTGATTTTTTTAATTGAAAAGCTGCTTAATAAAAAATAATCCAACCGTGAAGGAAGGCTTAAAACTAAATAATTGTTGACAGAGCTGAGGACAACAAACATGGCGTCAGTTCGGTCTGTTTGTCCTAACATCTGTGTGTGTGGTCTGATCTGTGAGGTTAAATCAGAGTCTGGAGTAGGAGCTATTGAAATCTAAAGCAGGAAATACATCTGCCTGCATCCTATTAGTTAGTGGGGATAACACTTATATGTTTTTTTATATATTTTTGTAAGATTTATTAAAGTTCCACTAGTTCTCTCATGTGTCTGTAAGGGTGTATAGTTTCTCAGTGTGCTGTCTCTCCTGTGTGCCTGGCAGCAGCCTCACTGTGTTAAATGTCTCCACTGTGCTGGTGAGCGATCGCCTGCTGTCATTGTGCATGCTACAATGAAATAACCAGGCATTAGAGCTGCAACCATTAATCGATTAGTCGATTTACAGGAAATTAACATTTTTGAAAAATCTTGTATGTCGTTTTTCATGCAAAGATCAGAAAATGCTTTTTCTCGCCTCTCAAGTACATTCTGTTTGATATTATATTAAAGTGAATAACCTTGTGCACAAACAAGTTTATAGATTATAACAATTATTAAATATATTGGGCAATTATTTATTTTTCTGTTATCAACTAATCGATAGTCGACCGATTCGTGGCAGAAAAAAAAGGTCCGTAATCTTTTATTGCACCACAGTATAAAACGCAATGATTCTGTGAAAACTATGAATAGAAAATGCTCAAACCTTATTAAAAATAATAATTTAACAGCCCTTTTTAAGTGTAAAATGCAGTTTTGCCTCAGCTGTGTAAAAAATCATTGAACTGACACATTTCATTTTGCATCTCTCTTTTTAGACTTTTAATATATTTTCTTTATTTGATACTCTTTAATTTTACAACATCCATAAAAAGAAGTTGTCTGCACTTTAGTGGTTTTTTCTACATGTGTCTTCTTTTAAACTTAAAGGTGGGGTAGGTAATAATAATAATAGATGTATTTTGTTAGTGCTTTTACAGGTGCTCAAAGACGCTTTACAGCTATAGTGAAAAGAGAAGAACAACAAATATATATAGTTAAAGTTAAAGTCAAATAATAGAAAAACAATCACACATTAAAAGCCAGATTGAAGAGGTGAGTTTTCTGAAGGTGGTGAGGTCGGTCCAATTCCTATCTGTAGACTCTTGGAAAACACACAACACTTTCTTTCCTTTCAATAACATGCTTTATTTCCTGTTTCTTGTCGCTTAGCTACTAGCTAGTCACATACATAAAATAACAGCTTTCATAATATGTGTGTCAACGTATCGTGAAATAGTGATTGTGTTCCTTCACACACTATAATGCAGCTATAAGGACATTTTTAAGTGTCTATGAATGTGCATTATTTGTCAGCAATTATAAACTATCCTTTAAAAACAAATAGTATGTTATTACACCTGTGCTTCACTTCATCTGTTTACACACCTAATCAAATTAGGTCTAGTTTTATTTGGTGATAAATACATGAATTAAACACTTTTATCAGTTTGTATTGCTTCTACTTTTTATATTTTATACATCTATAATAACGTTGACTTGCTTTTGCGTTACTGTTTCCCTTTGTGTTGTCATGATGTCCTCTCAGTACCTTACTTTAGCTTGTTCTGTCAGAGCACTTTGTTGTAAAATGTGCTTGCTATGAAGTTATAATTATTGTTTTTATAGTAATGCGTATGAATATTAAACAGGAGAACTTAAAGTAATGTGTTGTTTTTCCTTATTTGAACCCAAGGGAGTTATATTGTGAAGCCCTGGAGAACAAAGTTTAGTTTTGGGGCTATTATTGGCATTTGACTTCAGGAGCACTTAAATAATAATGTCAAGTATCTGCACTCTTAATTAAAGCGCCAAAGACTTTAAGGACTACAAAAAAAGGTAACGTCTAGACCCCAGTTGGTCTTAATCAGGCAAATGGGCGGCTCCACAAAGGATGGTGGAAACATTTTTGAATCCTGTTGACGTCAGAGTCAAGTGAAAAATATAATATATATGACATTTTGTTTGAACTACAGACATCCTGAAACTTTGTCAAGATATTCAAATTGATACGACATGCACAACGTTGTATTCCTATATCTTCTATCTAACTAACCATATACAGTATAATGATAATATATGACTACCAGCCACATCACTATACAGGAAATATTTCCATATTTGTTTTTCTATGTTTCATTTTTGTAAAATATCAAGACACAGCAGGACACTTAAGATGACAGGTTTATACAAATATGTTTTAAATAATAAATCCAGAAAGTGTCATGTTGGAGTGATGTTTTCATAACACAGCCTCTCGATATGATGTATTGTCATGTCACATGTCTCATGCTAAATGAAGAGTAAATATAAGCAGACATTTGGGATCACTGGCAGAAGCTAATGTGTTGTATTGTTTGAAGCGCATGTTTTCCCAGTGGACTCTGTCTTGATTCTTAACACTTCTGCTCCACATTTTTACATTTTAAGACAAGTGATGCAGTCCCAAGTGGTTAAAGCGACTGAGCAGGGATTTGGTTTCTCTCTCTATCGAGGATAATCTCTGACTTACAGTTACTTAACGGTCTCTGTAACCTCGTAACATACACACAAGTTTAAAGCAAACAGATTATGGGATGTGAAAAGCTGAGTAGATCAGCAGAGCCAGATAGGTAATATTGATTTTCCTTCTGTCTGTAACGTGTGTACAAACCAGTGTTTACTTGGACTTACAGTATGTGTTGCAATCGATAAGTTAAGCTAAAAATACTATTAAAATCGATTATTGCCCCCTCGCTGTAAGCTTCTGTTGACGGTGAGAGGAGAGATGAACCCCAGGCTGACTTATTGATCTGTGAGTATAATCGATAATGGAGGAGAGGCTACACGACTTGGCAAACAAACGTCTGTCTTCATTGACTCATATCTCTTTGAATACCCATCATGAGCTACCATTACTGGGTCACCGGGGAGGGGTATTAGATCATCGGCAAACTGATTAAGTCAACTCGAGTTAACCGTTTGTCGAGCCAACGACTAACGGGGATTGTCACAAAGCGCTTCACGGAGGCAGGGGTGTGCGTGACATCAAGGATTTTAGAGGTTCGTATTGTATCAACGTTAGTACACTACTCGCATGCCGGTATGAACACTGACAGAGAGTTTTTATTGGTTCAGCGTTGGGATGTTTTCTGACCACTTATTACCCTGATGATAATAATACAAAGGTTTGAGCAAATCTATAAGAAAATATTCTGTGGATACAAAAAAAGTAAGAGTTTACAAATGCTTGGTTTTTACAATATGTGGTGAGGAAGACATTACATTTCAGTGCAAATTATGTCAATGAAGTGAGTTCTTAATATGTATAATCATACGTTTAAAAGACTCATATTTATGGTGCCGCCTAGTGAATCGTAGCAACCTTTGATCTACTAACTTCTGCATCCCTAGGTCTTACATTGTGAACCGAGTTGAGAAGAAGACTCGGTAATCCTCTTACAAAACATTTAGAAATAACAACTCCACAGCAGATTATGTTTCTGTCCATCGACTAATCTACCTCACATGATTATATACAACACATTCATGTCTTATGTTTATATGTACGTGTGCATATATGTACATCAGTGTATGTATGTGTATGTATATGTGTATATGTATGTCAATCAACAGGTAAAGCAGATTAATAATAATAATAACAACAATAATAATGCATAAAACTGATAATTATTGCAGATTATAGATTATAAATAAATCATTTAGGGACAAGGGGGTGAGATTAAATAAATTATACTTCTTCTCACTCCTTTCCGAACACAATGCTCTGTGGCACTGTTTATGTTGCTAATGCTGTTGTTGTTGTTGTTGTTGTTGTTGTTGTTGTAAATGTCATTTTTTGTTTTGATTTCTCTTACATGACTATGCACTGCAACATTTTATTTTGTTTTGTAATTTTTTATTTTACTTGTTCGAAAATAAAATGTATCAATCAATCAATCAATCAATCTAGTGTTGCCTTGTTCCACTAAACAACACATCTAAGTGTGTAACGGGTATCTCAGAAAGACACCATTTACCTCTCATGGAAAGATAGAACCAATGTAAGCTTGATCATGTGGGTTCTTCAGTACAACATTCCCTCTTAGTTTCATACTGTCAAGTGTTTATTTACTGAGCCCTTGCAAATAAACATGTACTTGTGATTCCACGTTGGTTTGTTGACTTCAAAACAGCAACAACAAACTTCCCCATGACTACCAGGACGAACATAACCACTTTAAAACTTAGATTGCTGAAGAATCATTTTAGCCTTGGTTGTACTTATGAATTATTCTTTGACAGTGTGGATTTTGACCCCCATCTTTCAAGCTGTAGTTGCTCTAGGTCTAGGACATACTGTATGGAGAAGAGGAATGTTTACAGCGAACCAGCAACTCTTTGAATGTACAACAACCGGCAACACACTGCATACAGTCGTGTCCCAAAACAGTCAAGAAAGGGTTAAAAACACCCAGAGAAATACACATACATTTCTTTGGCCCGCGTGTACACACACACACACACACACACACACACACACACACACACACACACACACACACACACACACACACACACACACACACAGCAGAATGTGGGAATCACTGCCCAGAACATGAAATATTCATCAGTCATAAAACTTTAATTCTCTCTCTCTCTCTCTCTCTCTCTCTCTCTCTCTCTCTCCTGTCATTTTTGGGGGGCTGCTATATTCTATTTTCTGAGGTAAACACTTCCCCCATTGCTCCTGCAACGAGAAACACTTTTGCACAATTGTCCAAAGCACATCATTAAGACGCCGGCACATTACAGATGCAGGAAACCGATGTTCAAAATTACATTTCAAAAGAGAAGGCAGCTGGGTGGCGAAAAGAGGAGCGGTCTGCGTTTAACACTGCGATGCTGAGCTTTAGAGGTCCCCTGTTATCAGAGTTATTGTCGCTCAAAAAGAAGAAATTAAAGTGTGACCGTACCAACGCCTCCATATAGTCCATAAAAGGAAAAGGAAACCAGTAACGTGTGTTTTTATGTTCTGTTATCACACTCCAGCAATGAGTTTAGGTTCAATTTAAAGACAATACACATTTCAACAACCAAAAGGCAGGGACATAATGGATCAAAGCTTCACAAAAAATATTCCTTACATGATCCAAATATGAGGGAGAAATGATGTGTCAAATGAATGCATTCTGGTTTCCACATTATTGGTTACACATGCTTACATAATGCCTGATTCTCTGTGTTGTTTTCCTCGTCTGTATGGCATCACTAGCTCCAACGAGAGTATGTTTTCAGCTTGGTTTGTTTGTCTATTTGTTAGTTTGTCTGTCAGCATGATTACTTAGTGGAAAGGTAAAGTATGTACCGGTAATCTACATTGTAGGAGCGGATCCAATATCACAGGGACGGAAACATGCATTATGTTTCACTTTCATTCACATTGCAAGAAAGGACATTTAGCCTGTAATGATGTGGTGTCAGAATAACATAAAAAGCGAGTTCCTGAATAATAAAATGCACAGCTATCAACATTTAAACATTATTCACATGCTCTTTGAAATTAAAATGTAACACATCTTCTTTGTTCATGAACATATCAAGTCCAATGTTCCCAACCCAGGAAAAGGGACCATCGATGGAGCATTTGAATGCAGCATTGGCCTTGGCGGGGGTTCTGCGCTCTTCAAGTACCATTCTAGTTTATTAATGACTAATAGAGATCAAAATAGATCTACTCAAAATCCAGCAATCAGAAAGAGTCCAATCTTTAAATTGGTTTTAAACTCATGATGAAAAAGCAGATTTTCAAGATGTGATGAGTTGATATTTTTGTGAGTTAGAGATATGTCTCTAGCAGCTTTCTGGGTTTTTTCGAGACTTCAACTGACATGCAGCCATTTAATCTGTGCACAGTATTCTTACGATGTTTGACAAATCCAAAGCATTTTGAGTTTATTGGCAAAAAATACCTGGGACTTCTGCCCTACAGCTGGAACAATGTGGAGCAGCTGTTTCTCCAATGTCTGAAAACAGCTCACAAGTGGAGTGCCGAGTGCAAATAAAACCCAGAGTAAACAGTCTTCTCTGTAGACACAACAACGCTGTACATGTAGATGCATTACTTTGTGACTTCAACACATCCGCCACGTCCAAAATGGAGCTCTTCTGATGTTAAGTTAATTTGACGAAAATATTATAATTTGAGTATAATCTGAAGTATTAATACAGAAGAACGAGGCTGAATATCTATTAATTGATCCTCATGGTGCATTTCCAAGGGTTTTGAGAGATGAAATAATGATGAAAACAGCCAACAGAAGCTCTTTCAACCCCGACCATATACTGCTGGTAATTCACAGAGGAAGAAAATCAAGATACTGTATGTCTTTGTCTCCTTTTCTCTACATCTGCAGACCGGTTTCGGCTGAACGGACCTCTATCATTTTGACTTTCCCAGCAGAAATGGTGAAGGGAGAGGAAGAGAGAGAGATAAGGACGAAAGTCTAACAAGGGAGGAGGAAGCACGGCGAAGAAGCAGGGAGACAGAAAGAGAGGGAGACACATCTGCAGTCACCCTCATCAAAACCTCACGCCACGCGTGGATGGGGACTGTTTGGGCAGAGAGGATGGGGGAGGGTGGGGNGAGGACAGTAATGCCATGGTCAGTACACCAGTTACTGGTGGTTTTGGCACTGTGGGCAGGTGCCAGATCATGCTGGAAAATGAATTCCTCATCTCCATAGAGCTCTATGGAGATGAGGAATTCATTTTCCAGCATGATCTGGCACCTGCCCACAGTGCCAAAACCACCAGTAACTGGTGTACTGACCATGGCATTACTGTCCTCGATTGGCCTGCAAATTCCCCTGACCTGAACCCCATAGAGAATATGTGGGGTATTGTGAAGAAGAAGCTGAAAGACACCAGACCCAACAATGCTAATGAGCTAAAGGCCGCTATTGAAGCATCCTGGGCATCCATAACACCTCAGCAATGCCACAGGCTGATTGCCTCCATGCCACGCCGTATTGATGCAGTAATCCGTGCAAAAGGATTCCCAACCAAGTACTGAGTGCATTAATGGACATTTTCAAATGTTTGATTGTGTTTTGCTGTTATAAATCTTTTTTTTTTACTTGGTCTGAGGAACTATTCTAATTTTTTGAGATAGGATTTTTGAGTTTTCTTAAGCTGTATGCCATAATCAACAATATTAAAATAATAAAAGGCTTGCAATATTTCAGTTGATTTGTAATGAATCCAGAATGTATGACATTTTTGTTTTTTTAATTGCATTACAGAAAATAAAGAACTTTATCACAATATTCTAATTTTCTGAGACAGTCCTGTATATTTTATCAAAATGTTGCATCGTGTATCAGAGTTCTGCCTTTTGTGCAGCTTTGAAAGCAGTAGTGCCAAAGTACACCCTTTTGATTTACGAGAGCTGTGTCATAAATATAGTGTGGCTAGTGGTTACTGAATAGGAACTGATTACGTTGTGAATGAGGATTGTAGTTAAATATTATAATACAGAAACATTACACTGAGTGGTCACAGCATGTATACACACCCAGAGAGACCAGAATACTAAAGGCCCGTTCACTCCAGTTATGGAGCACCTTTGGCCCTGAACAGCTGCCAGATGCTGTACTGCGGCAGTGACTCAACAATGGATCTGGGGCCTGTTCCCAGGGTTAGGGTTAGCACGTTTGCTGTTTGAGTTCTCTGGATTCATCTATGCCTATTCTCAGTTATCTGTTCAAACACAAAGTGAGGTGGAGTGGATGTGAGTGTAGCAGACATTTGATATTAAAGAATGGTTCACCTCAGTGTCTAAACCTGAGGCAGCTATTATAGAGAATGATATAAGAAAGCATCATAACGTGTAAACAAATCCCATGGAATAAATGCTCTTGATTGTCTTTCCTTTCTTGCAGAGGTAGATGCCACCTGCAGTGACTTCGACTTTGGCACCGCACTGCACATCGCTGCGTCCAACCTGTGCACGTCGGCTCTCAAATGTCTCCTGGAGCTGGGAGCCAACCCTGCTTTCAGAGTAAGTACACAACACTTGCATGCACATTTGACATTTACACCTGTTTGACAAAATCCCCATGGATATCAGAAACGTAGAAACAACAACAGAGCACATGCAGTATGAGACAAATAAAGAGCTTTCTGAACATTAAAGCATGGAAACATGTCACAGTAGAGATACTAAATTCATATATAAACCTCAAAATGAGCATAATAGGGCCTCTTACAGTAAATAAATACATGTGTCCCGAATGAAATCACCTGATGTAATGCTGTCTAATACAACAAGACCACAAAAGAAACGACCATGTTATTGAGCTTTCATTCATTCTCAACAAACAGTTTTTGATCTCAGATGTCATTGGTACTTCCTTGGAAATAGAAAGTCCCACAGCTCCCCCAACATCACCTTTTCAAAACCTTTCCTGTTATTGAATCCTTGCTCCTTTCAAAGAATTGCATCAATTTGATGGAAACACCGTTGCAAAATAAGTCCTTAAGCTCTGTCAACAAATATAACAGATTGAAATATTTTAGTTAAACTGTTGGGCCTCACTTTTATTCCATTTCAGATAAGCAGTCATCCTTTTTGCTTGGCTCTTTCTGACTCCGCTGGCAGATAACACCAAAAAGGCAATTGCTTGCAGTACACATTTCCAGAAGTTTCTTGAAAACGTCTCTCTGTGCTCAGTCTTTCTGCCTTGAGCCTCTCAATTGAAATCATTTAAAGCCTTGTTGAGGGGCTTGCTAAGAACAGCCCTGATGTACTGTTACCTTTTTAATTGAAGGATGCACTGCAGATTCCCAGCAGAGGGCAATGTGGCATCAAGGCTCTCATAGCTCATCAACTCTATTGAACATGTCTGCCTATCCTATAATTGTCTCGTGTCACTGTGCTGTTATCCTTTCATATTAACCACTTTTTTAATATGAATAAAAGCTGTTTCTTAGCAGAAAAGGCGCCCGTTCACTCTATGCTCTAATCTTCCCACTGGAGGTCACCAAAGCACTACACACCATAATCCAATCATTCCCATGATGATTACGGAGTCTCTATATATTCTTGTGTGAACGTCAAGCTTGGTAAGCAAAAGTTGATATGAAACAGCTTTTTATACCGAGATGTTCTGGGTTAGAGAAATTGATGTTTGTTCCTTATCTCTGCTGAGCAACTGTTTAAATTCCACTGATGGGAGATTAATTTTGGGCTTGTTTTTTTTTTAAGGTTTGTCAAGTCTCTGTTTCCAATTAGCCCCAGAGAAATGTTGCATCTCTTTTACAAGTTCTTATATTGTTATTCCTTTTTTTCCTCTAGTAAAACAAGACTGACTGTCAACAAACTCTTTTCAGTTGGGGTGTAGACCAAGCTTGTGGGTGTATCAAAGTCCTAACACGACTAATGTATGAATTCGATTATTACCCAAAAGAGTACACTGCAAAACAAAGCAAAGCCATTTTAGCTTTATGTTGCCTGAAACATGTCAAATGTGTCTTTCTTAAGTTTAGTAGAAAATGTAGCAATGCACCATATAGCATCAGTATAGACAATGTGCAATGTTTTGAGTTGTACTTGAAAGTTCTACCCATCAAATGGCGTCCATTGCATTTAGAAAAAGTTGTTTTTGTCTTGCCGTGGAGAACGAGGCATGATACTAAAGAAAACACTTTAAAATCCCTTTTCCCTTTGAGCAAAGGGCAGGCTTGGAAGAGTAAATATTAATTTGATATTTCTCTTCTCTGACTCAGTAGACATTTGTGACAACAAAGCTTGCAATTGAGCAACGGGAAGTTTTATAAAGATGGAGAAATGAAAAATGCTGCTGGCCTTTCATGCTTCTCTTGCCACACATCTTATTGCTTAATCGCTATAGCAAGTCATCATACTTCCATTTAGCAGCACGCTGCTTTAGGGGATTCCTTACTCGATTGTTCCACTTTCAGTTTTGAAGTGAGCCAATGTTTCAAGAGTGTTTGGTATGTGCTGGGTGTTTGGTGTGTAGAGTGAAGCCATCACTTTCTGTCTGGAAGGTAAAGTTACAGATGTTGTACAAGTGGACAAAACACCAGCAGTTGAGCTCAGTACAGTTCAGCCTTGAAATAGTCCACATAGTTTAATTGACGCCAATTTTCTCCCTGAACAACCTGCTTTTATCACAACACTTTGCCAGAGAAGAGATTAAAGATCCTGTTAAGCCCAGTGTCCTTGTTTCAGAAACGAGAACTGAACTTTCAGATAATAGAGGCAAAGAAGAAAGTTGACTTGTTTGTCCTTGCAGCCTGTCATGAGTTTGATAACCTACTTGATATTGATCAGTTATAATACATTTAGTTGGCATGCTGGCAAGTGAAGAAGAAAAGTTGGTTGAAATTCACTTCTAGTTGATAATTTTTTCATCGATCTTCTGTGCTTCTCCCTTGTCTCTGCCTACAGAATGAGAAAGGGCAGTGCCCAGCAGACGTTGTGCCTGACCCCCTGGACATGCCCCTGGAGATGGCCGATGCAGCGGCCATGGCCAAAGAGCTCCGGACTCTGCTGAGACGGGCTTTACCCAGACCCAGCTCCCCTCTGCCGCTCACACTGCAGGCCCAGTCCCTCCCTGGTCTCTCCGATAAGGCCAGGATCCAGCTCGCCGCCATGGGACTCCGACTAGGAGACCGTGTGGTGATAGCCGGACAGAAGGTGCGTGGTAGGTCACTATCAAAAGGCACAAACAATTACCTATATCTTCATTTATCCTTTGATTGCAAAAATGTATGCATACAATGGTTGAAATCCTGCCATTATAGAATGCACTGATCTTCTTCCATTAAATCTTGACTTCATTGATTTATCATAAGAACACCTACTGTGCTGACAATGCCACCTACCTAATAGCAAAGCATGAATGGCCAGTAGAGCAATGACATCAAAAAGGGAAGTTTCACAATCAGCTTTGTTCCTATAACCACATCAGTGCCATGTGGCTGTGCTGTAGTTTATCCTAAACAAAGACAAAAGCTTTTGTTCAATTTTCTACAATTATTTCAGCCCTCAACTGAGTAAAAATTGTTTCCAGTTGCTAAGCAACACCCTTTTGGCATCCTTCCAGGATTCAGGGTTATGTTTGACAGTTCGTTTTGGCATATCATCAACATTTATCTGAGCATGTCTTAGTTTATCCAACAAAAGTAGTGATTCTGATAAATGTCTGGTAAAAGTGTTGGCAGTTTAGAAATGCTCATACTTTTCCACTTTGCCCCTGGATCATCCTCTATTGTCCAAACTCAAACAATCCATGAGTGTAAATGTTAGAACATAATGAATCAGCTGAAGTGCTCGCATGCCAGCACTGTAATTATAAGGATTTACTAACACTCTTGACCAGTCACAGTTCATTACTGTGTATACTGTTTGTTATTTAAAAATGTCCTTTTAAAGCATGCCGTTTACTCTTCATTACATAGTGTAGGCGGGTCTATATGTTTGCATGTGCATAGTTTGCTGCAACCTTCATTTATGTAATCCAGTCGTTGGCTCTGAATTCAGGCAAAGACATTCATCCAACAACCCATTTTCTGCCCAATTCCTTCATTTACTGCAAATAAACAAGTTGGTGTGGCTTCTCAGCCTAACCCCCCGACATCAGTGTCTTGCTTTAAGTCACGTGTAATCCTTTTGACAAGAAGCAAGCTTTGAAAGCCATGGAATTTCCAGTTTTCTAACTATGTTCATGAAAAAGTTAAAACTTTGACAGCTTGCTGCACAGTAACTGTCCTCAAGTTTCCTGAAAATGAAAACCCAAAAAATCTGTACGTTTGCAAAATCGGCCTTATGTGTCCAATCCAATGACTGTTGTGTGTCTTCAGTCATCAGGCTGACAGCCAGCCGGTGTTGAGTGTGCTTTGTGACTCAACAAAGCAGGCAAGGACATCCACAGCAGGGACTCAAAAATCACCAGACATCTCGGTTATAGTCGTTGGTGCTTCAACTCTGCCAGTACGTGCTCAGAGGCTCAGTTCAGTAATATCTGTGACATCCTCTCTGCTCACTTCCAGATTTCTTTGCACTTAAGGATAACATTTCCTGTCTCTGCCAATAACCCCAAATACCCAAGATTAATGTGACCAAAAGTCAGTAACTTTTATAGGAACTCTTAAATACTTAGATTACTCCAATCCACAATGGGACAAATGACAGTACTAGTCTTTGTGTCTGTTTTAGTTGGATGCAGTGCTGTAGTCAAGTCACCAATTCACTAGTCCAAGTCACTCTCGAGTCACCACTCTTTGAGTCCAAGTCAGAGTCACCAAGGGAGAGTCGTAGTCGAGTCCAAGTCCGAGTCACCCAAGGAGTGTCCGAGTCGAGGCCGAGTTGTCTTTACCTGTGTTCGAGTCCAAGTCCGAGTCACCTAAGAAGAGTCCAAGTCAGAGTCACAAGTCTTCGTGTATTAACCTTCGTGGATATATGTGTTGAAATGTAGCTGCTCCTCTACATTGCTTTTATCCTGTCATGTTATACTAATCTGTCTATTGAACTGCTGTGTAGTGAGTTTGGCTACAATTCTTGTAATAGGTGCTATACAAATATAAAGCTTATTACTAATATTAATATTATTATTGTAAATTACCTTTAATATGTCTAACTATATTTAAAATGAGTTACCTTTTAGAGAAGTGATTATATTTGTATGCCAATATTTTCCTATGGTAAAGTTTTCGTTTTGCACTTTTATTTTGATAGTAATAAGATCGGGACTCTTATTTTGAAGGAACTTTTACCGGTTAAATCGATTTACTGATAAAGATTTAGCCCCAGAAAGCACATGGCTACTTAGCATGCAAAATGACGTCATTCTGCATGTTAAGTAGCCATGTGCTTTCGTGTTATCGGCTGAATCTATATTTATTGATTAGATCAAGTTACTCTGATGATAGTGTTCAAGACAGCCATATGTCTGAACTCGATCCTTAGAGTAATGTGTTACGGAGCCTTCTCTTCAATATTGTTTCCACATAACGAGCATTTTGCGCTTCTCTTTTCCAATGTGGAAGCAGAATGTGTGAAAGCATACAGCACGATGCGGAGTGTGTCTCTAGACATCTCTAGACTGGAATAACGGGGCCCAGTCCGTGAACTCGTCTCGCAGGTGCACATGCCAGGATAGAGGACATCAGACTCCAGAGAAAACTTGCTCGAGTCCGAGTCCAAGTCAGAGGTCAATGTACAATTCGAGTCCGAGTCATCGTGGGGGCGGGGAAATTCACGAGTCCGAGTCGAGTCGCGAGTCCCGAAAATCGGCACTCGAGTCCGACTCGAGTCAGAGTCAAGGACTCGAGTACTCCATCTCTGGTTTGATGTGATTCTCATCATGGTTCTGCCCATAGAGCCATCACATATTAGACAGAATATACAGAATGAGACAGGTTTACAAATAATGTCCGTGAAAATATTATAATGTTTCTACACTTGGAACAGGCTCTTTCCGCTCTGCCTTTTTCAACATTCCTTCTTCGACACAGAAAGATGTAGGTTGTCCGTCTGTTAAGACTTTGTTCTGTACTTTTTTTGTGTACTAGTTTATACGCTGAACTCCTTTGTGCCTTTGGTGTAAGCAAGAAACGGTAGTATGATGACTACCAGAGTATTGCTCATGATATTGCTGGAATTGTAGTTGAGCTCCTTAGACTTCATGCCCTCCCTTTTCGGACTGGACTACTGACCCCTGTAAAAGTGATTACAAACAATCGATGTTGTAAAGCATGAGCTTTAGTTGGCATCCTCCATGATTTCTATGTCTTAAGTCAAATGTTTATTAATGTGTCCAATTCTACCCCTCTGGAAAAGTCAACTTACGCAGCCACTTCAACATTCCTTTTGCCGTGACATATCTTACATTGCAGTGCCATCACAGCTCACTGAAAAACAATTTAAGTACAATTAAAGTGGTTCTGTATAACAAAATGTGGCATCAAATAAATGTAATCTTTCTAAACCTTTTGACAGAGATTGTGACAAATTGATGCCTCTGTGCTCTGGCTGAGGATTTTCTTAGATTTGAATGGATTCTCAAAACAGCCTTTACAACCATGAGAGATTATGTAACGTGGTGAAATGGTTGGTGTAAGCCACCTATTTATGCTTTTGAGGATGTGTTCACTTTGAAAGAAATGGTAAACAACTAATTAAGTGTGTCTCTGGCTCAGGGATTGTCTGAATTTGCTCCACCTGTCACGGTAAACACTGGCTTTATGGCTTTTCAGATTTACCATGCAAGTGCTGTATGTGTAGACTGCAGACAAATCAAAGGCTGTAGGTGGAGGATGCACTGGTGAAATACAAATGATAGTGCATGTATATGTGCAGGTGGCCTGTAAATCACCATAGGTTTCGCATTAGACAATCTCATAGCGAGACGTCTTCCCACGATGCCTGTCAGCGCTTGAGAAAGGTCTCCACATACGAATGTATCATTCTGGTATAGTAAGAAAAACTCCATGGCTTGTTTGTATCCTTTAAACCAAACGCAATCATTTTGTGCAGTGCGACGTTCAGGATACAGGGACAGTGCCCTTGCAAAATATATCAGATGCAATCACTTTACTGCAGACATTTAGAAGGAAATGCTTCATGTGGAAAGAGTTTAGGATCGATATAGAGAACAAAGCATTAAAGCTATAACAAGCTCTAGCGTGAGCGACTTGAGTTTTAAAGCAGTGCACACAAATATGCCCAAGTGGGGCTGTATGAGGTTAATTATCCATAGTCAGCGTACTACCAAAAGTAGATTGCGATGGGCACACCCCCAGTTTGGAAACAGATGGGAGCACCAGCTTAGAGGCTCCAAGGCAAAATACTGCTGTCGACGGGGCAGCAGCTAAATATATTTCAGCCACACAAAAGAAAGGCACACGTAAACAAATTTGTGTTGTGTACATTGGGGGGTTTTAGAAGATTACTCCGAATTCACCGATCATACATTTTGTTAAATTGGTCACACAGAACCACTGGTCGCATTCTAACAGTTCTTTTAAAATGTGGCTGTATTCCGCAGTGTATCCTTGCTGTATGGTCAGCCAGCATAGATGCAAACTCAGACATGTAAATGTAAATAAAGAATATGCCATTAATAGATCTTTCGTGCCACAGAATCACAGTGTGCCAAGTTGTAGAGATGGGCTAATCAAAACTCTTATCTTCCCTGCTCTTTCTGGCACAGTCTCATGCCTTGATCTCCATTTTCCCTTTTTAATTGTTTGTCTCATCTGCTGCTTGAGTCGACATGGTCGCATGATAATGTTATTGGGTTTCTGATAGGGGTTCTGCCCTTAACATAATACCCACCGTGGAAATGTCATTTAGCACGCCGCTTGGTGCACCAGCAAGTTCTTTTGCTACATTTCTTGTTTTGGTTTTGATTTGTTTTGCACACTGTGCTAATTAGTTTTGACTTTTTGTGGTTATAATTATGTGTGTGCAGGTTGGAAGGCTTCGATTCTGTGGCAGCACCGAGTTCTCTGGAGGCCTCTGGGCCGGAGTGGAGCTGGACAAACCGGAGGGGAAGAACGACGGCTCGGTAGCAGGCGTTCTGTATTTCACCTGTCGTTTCAAACATGGTAGGTCATGCCACGGCCCAGCACTTAATAATCAAACACATTTAACTCACTTATTGTCTACTTCATAGTATTTATTAGTCCAATCAGGTTTTCAAAGGTATCATATATAACCCCATTCAATTAGTTTGTCTCTTTTTGTATTTTCACTCTGTATATTTACCATTTTTAAAAACCTGTGCCAAAATGTTCTCTTTTCTTCACAGGAATCTTTGCTCCCCTCTCAAAGATAAGCAAACCTTTGGAAAGACATAAAGCCAGCACCAAAAGGACGTCTACTCCCTTAAGACCCCCTCGTCGCATCGACGTATCCCGCATCACCTCCAAGATAAACACAGGTAAGAACAGTTTGCAAACAGCTCACAACACTTGACTCTATTAATTAGGTAGGGCGGGATAATGACACATCATACAGAAAATGCTTTGTGGATCGTTGAGAACTGCTCAATGAGCGTCCGCCCGAGGCTCACAAGATTTTGGATGAAGCGGTTTGCCTGCGGAGTTCAGGCACAAAGCATTGCAATTTAAAAAGCTTAAAATGATCAAGTCGTATTAAAACTACAAAGACTGTGAAACTGAGCAGCCTGTGGGCCCCTTTGGGAAGAGGAATGTGTTCACAGGTGAATACATGCCAAAGGGGCCACAGTTCCCAGGTAATCTCCCACAGTCCCCTGGAGGCCCACATATAGTATACAAATCAAACTTCACCAAGCTCATAGACACACAAATACTTTGGAGGAAGAGTATTAGCACGGAGAACTGCTTCCCTATAACAGAGCCCACATCCTGTTTGATATTCTGATCATCCTCACTCTGCTTTATAACCTAAACATTTGCCGCTTACAGTGAAATATATTATTAGCAAAACGCTGTTTAATTCCTCTTATCTATGGTCTAGTCTCAAGTATGGAGTATCCAGAAAAATAGTGATATTAAACGAATATAACGGCCAATAGTAACATCAGATATATTCAGCAAATGTGTTATTAAATGAACTAACTCAGTGAGATGTATTCAAACATAATGTCCATTGTTCTTCTCTTAGGGTAATGGTAATATTATTACAGTACGTAAATCATTAAACAGCAGAATCTTAAAATAGAATCAACGATGTCATTGGAGCCTTTGTGTGAATCTAACTGCTTATGTTTCATCAACAGAAGCACAATCAAGTTTAGTCAAAATAAACGTGTTTGTTATTGTAAAAAGCCTTTGTTTCTGTATAAATAGCAGTTCTTGTTGGAACACTGTAGATGGAAAAACTGATCCAAGTACTGACGGTTCTCGTGCTGACTCGGCAGGCTTTGAACCTACCAAGGATCGAGTCACTCAACTATGTCCAGATGAGGCTCAAGCTGATGGTCCCTTTGTTCCAAAAAGAGGCTTTCTCAAAGTTCCTAGCTTGTATGAGCAATGTCACTGCATAGCAGCATTTCTTACGTTTAGACTTTCATATTAATCTTCCTCGAATACTGTGAAAAGTGGATTCTGAACTCCTTCCAAAGTGCATACATGAGACTGCTGAGTTCGCCCTAGCTCTAGTAGTCCTAGGATTCCCGTATGCTCAGCTCCTAAACTAATGTCTTCTCATATTATAGTCCAATCCCCTCAGAACGTTGTAGAAACTGTCTTGGTAGGCTTTTATGTCTATCGGGCCCTCTCCTTTACAGCTGTGTTGTGCTGTTGTAATATTGAAAGGTTCTGAAGGCTGATTGATCTGGACGTGACTGGAATGGCGTACCTCAGCGTGGCCTATGCAACCCTGTGATTGATAGTCCAATCAAGCCGGGTTTAATAACTAGGCCATGGACGGGCTGAATAACCTGGCAGCCATTCATCACGAGGTGTGTGCAAGCGTTTTATGTGTGGCGAGCAATGCATGCGAGGGCGTGTGCCGGCACCTCCATACTAGTCAGGAACCAGACTCATTTACGGCCTAACACTTTTCGGAGCCTTTGTCAGCTATTTCCAGCCCAAACTCTGAGAGCCACCTGTGTGTTAGCGGCCCCTGGACAGGCATACAGCTTGCCAGTGTGTATCTACAGATTGGCTGTGTCATTGTGCACGGGTCTCGTCTGGCTAACCAGCAGAGACTGGCCGCAGAATGCCACGCTGGCCCCTATTAGAGGGTCTCAACTGTGGCTCAGGCCTCAAAGGGCGCTGGAAACATAGACAACGCTCACAAAGCCCCCTCTTCTGATTCATAAAGCCTCAGTGTGGGCTGCAGTCTGTCACTTGAAGCGAATGTCAGTGTGTGGACGGGATAGATAGAGCCAGGAGGTCCCTGCGAGCTAAAGGTCAAGTGACAAGAAATGTTTGGTATTCTGAGTCGAAATGTAGTCTTTGGAGTTCAAAGGATCCGCACAGCTCTGCCTCTTGAGGGAAGCCATTCCCAGCTCTCTCTAAATGTGAACCGAAATGGCAATCAATAAATACCAGGCTGATTTGAGATTTTTTAAACACCTTTTCAAAGTGAAGTATAAGGTTTAAACTTAGGTGAGATGTTAATGTGTTAAGAGTAATGTGGGACAGTTAATGTGGTAGATTAATGTAGGAATTAAATCAGCGTTAATTTTTCCTTAAATATTTTTAGATGTATAGTTGTTGATGTTATTTCCTGTTAGAACAGAGTCCGAAAGGCTTTATGTTGCTGCTATAAATTAGGTAAGAACATAATTATGTTTACTTGTGCAAGAATTGTTATTTCTCAAACTGTGCTGTTTGAGTGTACCAAGACTCCCTTTGAAGTTTCTTTTTTGTTCCCTGTCATCGGGGCTTGTGTGTGGGTGTAACTGCTTGTATCAGCATTTATGAGTATTTTTATTGTGTGTTCGGGGAAAAGAGCGTCTCAGGCAATTTCTTTCAGTAATTCTTGTTCCTTCGCTACTTGACAATGTCATGCTGTCCAGCATTTGCATGTATTCACTCTCCTTCTTGTGTTATCTTTTCAGTCTAGCCTTGTTTATGTTTCTTCCTGTAACCCTCCACTGTGTCTTCCTAGTTTCCTCATTTGTGATTCTCTTTATTTCTCCAAACTTTATCAACTTGTCTCTCTGGATATAGTATTTACATTAAAAGCAAATCTATGTTCATAATAACTAACACATACAGCAACTGACTATCGAAGTTATTCTGACAGATTCATAAAAGTCCCGTTTCAGATAGTTTCAACTGATAAACAAAAGATAAAAAACAAGCCTTATCAATTGTCATTATCAAACAGTATTTAATGTTATGTTACTATGTCATCTTGCATCTGAGTACTTTACTACTACGATGAATATAGATCTCTGTGATGAAAAGTAGTCACCGTGTCTGTCTTGTTTGTTTATGTGAGTTGGGTGGAAAGGTTTATCTCCATCTAGTAAAAAAAACCTTGAAAATGAAAAAGGTTCACCGTGTCGGACGTGTCCCAATCGGGGCCCAGAGGGAGATGCCTCAGGGACAAACACAGGTACTGCAGGTCCAGCTGAGTGCGCTTCATTGTACTGCCTATCATAGAACGGGCTGTGGGCACGACATTGCATTGTTTAATGTCTCATTTTAATATGTTAAAACTATGGAAATTGTTCAAATCTAAGTAGCATATTTGAAACATCACCTGTCTCTGATAATCAGTGCACCTTAATACTTGAATCCCATCCCATTCACTATCAATCTATCATCAGAGGGTAGTTGAACAGATACATCACGTTCTTTTGAATAGCACACTATTCAATAAATACAACTGATACTTTGTATATATTACTGCTTAAAAACAAATATCTGAATTTCAGATACCTTCTTCAACCTAAAAATGCAATATGCATTTGTATGTGGTTTAATCTACAATGATCACAAGTCCAGTGATCACTTTAACACTCATTGAACCTATGGCCTGTGAAGGTCTGTGAAAGTTAAAAGCTTAACCATGTCCTGACTCTAAATGGCTTCTTAAGAATGAACTTGGGCGTGCCCCTCGTCCATCTCGCCCCCGCATGTTGGGAGGGGATTAGCATGTTAGCATGTAATTGTCCCTCCATAACAGGACAAGCAACTGTATTATATTGAGCCCTCTTGTGCTGCCATAGAATGATGTCCTTCAGTTGCTTGGTTTTCTGAAGAAGTGCAGTTGTAACCGTCTGGATCTGAGTGCTGTAGGGACTGTCACATTCACATTATTAAAAAGGAGAAATGAACAACAGGCCGAGATTCATTATTTCAATGGAATTACTAAAGTTCCTGAGGTAACCATGAATGGATGGTGGCGTGTGGCGCTGTGGATTAGTGCGTTGGTGTTGGGATCAGGGGGTCACAGGTTAAAGCCCCACTGCAGTCAGCATGTCGTTGTGTCCCTGAGACACTTCACCCCAAATTGCTCCTGTGGGGATTGTCCACAGTATTGAGTAAGTTGCTTTGGATAAAAGCGTCTAACATGTGATGTAATGTAATGATGGGTTCAGTATTAAGATGGGAGGCACCCAGTTTGTGCCGTGTGACTGTAGAGGGTAGAAAGTATAACAATGTTCACGAGTAGAATACATTTACAGAAATAGGTCTTATCTTTACTATTACATTTATTATTATTACATTGCATTTAAGCTGACAACTTTTTATCCAAAGCGACTTACAATAAGTGCGTTTTCGGACCAACACAAATACAAACTTGAAGAAAACAGGAATCAATATACAGTACATCAGATTACATTATTATTATTACATTGCATTTAGCTGACACTTTTATCCAAAGCGACTTACAATAAGTGCGTTCGACCAACAAAATACAAACTTGAAGAAAACAGAATCATATAAGTACATCAGGTTTCATAGAGCTAAAACATTTCAAGTGCTACTCAACTGCGGAAGATGTGTAAGCTTTCTGCTGTCCTGATTTCAATGGGGAGCTCATTCCACCATTTTGGAGCCAGGATAGCAAACCAACGTGTTTTAGCTGATGGGAACTTGGGTCCCCCTCGCAGTGCGGGTGCAGCGAGCCGTTGATGCTGATGCAGAGCGGAGTGCACGCGCTGGGGTGTATGGTTTAACCATGTCCTGGATGTAGGAAGGGCCAGATCCATTCACAGCATCTAACTTTGAAATGTGTATTCAGTCCCTTTTTGGTAGGGTTCTTTCTTTGAAGGGGGCCTATTATGCTTTTCGGAATCTACCCTTACCTCTAGTGAGTTATAAAGGTTTTTGTGCATGTAAATGTTCTGCAAAGGCGCCTCCATTGGACTCCTTTGTTTATTTCCAGGACATACAGTAGTAACATTACGTTCTTCTATTGGCTAGTGCTCCCATTGATTGTACATGATAGCCTAAGGGCCTGGACTTCTCTATGCGGTTGACCTATCACAACAGAGCCGGCCAGCTAACCAATCAGAGCAGACTTGACTCTGGTTTCAGACAGAGGGTGAAAAGAGGTGCTGCAGCACAGGCAGTATGAGAAAAATGAAGAGCTTTTTGAACATTAAAGCATGGAGACATGTCACAGCAGAGACACTACATACTGATATGAACCTGCAAATGAGCATAGTAGGGCCCCTTTAAGTAATTCCTTCCCTATATGTCTTGTTGCTTATTCCTCTGTCATGTTCACCACAGGCGTTCTCTCCCGCTCTCTCTCCTCTTCATCCTCTTCCCTGGATTCTCGGCATGGACCAGGGGCCCGCCCTCGTCCCCTGCCAAGGCAGCGTCTTCCTGCCAGGCAGCGGAGGGAGAGAGCTTCTCTCAGTCCGAGGGCCACGCCCTCACCTGCGATCCACTCTTCTCCTGACAACACTGCACTGTCTCCTGCAGGTCTGTCTTATTATATATTACATACTCACTTTAATAAAGATCTCTATTATTCATTTTTTTCTGATCATTATACAGACACAAATGAATCGTATTGAGGCAGTTATTGATCACAGGAGTGAAACACTTTTTTTTGTCCCTCTCCCAGGTCTTCGAAGTAGAACCCCCTCGGCTAGTGGCTCAGTGTTTGGGGGCCCCGAGGTGCGCCTGGGGGAGAGGGTGCTGGTGGTCGGTCAGAGAACTGGTGTAGTGCAGTTCTACGGGAAAACCAACTTTGCTCCAGGTAAGTTGTTAAAAATGCTGTTCTCCCTGCAAAGATCTGACAGTTGGAATCTTTGAAAAGTTAATATCATGACACTCTTTGAGTAGATGCTTTGCAGCCTTGCTTTTTGGTGTAATCTGGAGGACACTTTAATAACTTGCCTTTTGGACTAAGAGGTTGTTCGGCCTCATTTTCATAAAAAACAACATAATGATCATTTTAATTGTTATGAACTGCATTTATTTGATATGTGAATATATGAAAATGCATATTGGGTGTTCTGTGAAGTCTAATTTGCAAGGTCATGGTATCTCATGGCCAATTTGGTTGTTAAGGATTATGGCAAACGGCGCAAGGTTAAACACATTATTTTATCATTAACAGCAAGAACTGCTGCTGAATCAATAGCCTTCCCATTGAATTGTTATACATTTGACTATTTATCATATTTGAGCTCTGTTTACTAGCATAACGTAAATGTATGTTTAATGTTAGAATGATAGGGTTCAATAACGTACATGTGAGGTTTCTCTGGAAAGGTTCAGCCCTGTCAGTGTTGTGTGTTGTGTTGTGCTTGGAGCTTATGTGAATAAACTCCTTCAAGCTATTTCATTTTGTAAAGCATCCAAATGTCTAAAATAATTAATATCCCTTTTGATAAATCATGTCTGTCTTTTTTACTGTCATTTTCAGGACAGAGCTTAAGAATCAGGATGACTTTCTACTCTTACTTTCTTTTCCCTTTGTACATCCTGAAATGTCTAATTGGGCAGTGAACTGATGAGCTGGTAGTTTGGACCATATTATTCTGACCACTGCACAGCTTACTTTGCTGCCATTATAAGGTTGAACAAATAGTCTTTATGTATTTAAAGGGTTGAGCTCAATCTTTTCTCTATTTGTAGCATCTAAATGTCACAATGGATCTGTGCAGTAACATTTTGTGGAAGGTTTTTATTTAGAGAGATATATTTAACAAAAGTTGTACTCTTCTGTTCCTACATGCATGAGCTGCATCTCAAACTCCTAAGTCACTGCAGTGGCAAACCTCCAGTTACACAGACGACACTTGTAAAAATAAGATATGAGAAAACTGCTGCAGAACAAAAGTCTTTGGAACTCGCTCAGAAAGCTGCTCACAATGCTCATTAACATGTAGGCAATGGTTCTGCCCAGGCACCATTCATGTATGAATAAGTGCTAACACATCTCACAGCACTGAGGATCATGTTGGAGGGGATTTCCGTTCATACTTTGATAACAGGGCAATGCTAGCAGTGCCCTGTTATCTCAGCCTCCGTGCATTGAACACTGCTTCTTTATTCCAAAAGCTGCTCTTCCCACTAAATCCACTTTTTATATTTGGTCTATTCCCTTATGTAGCACTACATCAATGATGGAACCGCCTTTAGTAACTATATTTTCAGTCAACAGCTGTTTGCTATTCTGTTTACAACTTTTTTGCATTATCCAGCACATATAACCGTCTGGCTAATGTTTATACATTTGCTTTTTACAGAAACATGAAATTACTTCTGTGTTTTCCCTCCCGCCTGAAATGCCTCCATTGGACTGCTTTGTTGACTTCTTAGCATCATTTAACTTTGAGGCGCATCTTTCCTCTCTGTTCCTGTGATTATCTGTTGATGTTCCCTTGACAGTTTTTCTGACTTCCACTCTGTCTGTGCAGGGCTCTGGCTGGGCATTGAGCTGGATAAGCCCAGTGGTAAGAACGATGGGTCGGTGGGGGGGGTGAGGTACTTCAGCTGTCCTTCCAAACATGGCGTCTTTGCTCCCCCTTCTCGCGTCCAAAGGTGAGTGCAGGCTCTCTAAGGTACCTTATATTTTGTACTAATGATCACTTTAGTTTTTGCCAGGGGTCACCAAATCACATTTGTCGGTTCAGAGCAGATTTTGGAGGAATTTGACAATGTAGCACGACAAACCCTGAGGTAGTGTTTCATTGCCCTCATCAATACATCTGAGGACGTTAATGAGCTCCTTTGACAGTGTCATTTGTGCGAGTGTTGACATATTCCATTGTTTGCCCTCTGTGTGGCACACAGTCCTGTGGACTTAAAGGGAGTCCGAGTTGTCAAACGTGAGACCCGGGGCCCTCACCCTGCACAACTCCTCACTTTAATGTGGCACCTAGTTCTGAGCCTGGCACCATTATCCCTGCCTTTTCAATATGCATTATGGTTAAGAATATTTGCTTAGCATTTCTCAATTTTATATTTTCCAGGTATGGAATACATAAGAGATTTCCTTGCAATGTCGCTGCATTTAACTTTATTCACATTTCTATTGATTCAACTGTCCCATTGTGGGATATTTTACATCACATGCAAGACAAAGCACAGATCCTGGTTTGGTTGCACTTTAGGTTCTAATAACACCGCGGCGAACCGTGTCTATCACAACTGGACCTTCTGTAGACACACACGCCCCCCCCCCCACCGTTATAATGTCCGTTAATAATAATGACGGTTCGCCACTGTAATAACAATATAACAGTATTTGACTATATGAGGCAATATTTAGCTTACATTTGGTGTCTACTGCTTACTGTTGAGAGAGACGATATGTGATCAAAGTGACTGAATTCAAGGATTTGTATATTTCTTGGATTTTAAAAGTTAATTTTTGATTATTATTTTTTTAACCCAATTATTCTAAGATTAGATTGACCTCTACTTGTAAGATGTTTGGAAAGATGAAGATAAGATGACTTGATGACATGATTTGGTTTTAAAAAAGAACTGTAATAATAGTTTGTTTGATTTTGCACATAGGGAGACGTTTTGCAGTTTCCATAGAAATTCCTCAGTCGCACATTGTGAAGAGATAAGCTGGATTTAATGACAGTGTCAGTGCCAGAACGTAGGCTGGATCTAGTGTTGATACAGAATCAATTCCTGCTTCTGTGTATGTGAATATTGGGCTGTCGATTGATTTAAAAAAATAACAAGGCTGCTTGGGCAATATTGGAGCGGTATAATGGATATGTAAAACAGCCAATTAAATAACTCTTCAGTTGGCACTTTGCCTATGTTCCTTTCCTATTGATCACACTGAGATGTTGGCCACCATTAGCTGCTGTCAGCTGGACTGGTTGTGTTTGAAATACAGAGGAACAAAAGCCAACACAAAGCATCTCAGTAAGGAAGACTGAACGGCTTCTGAAACTCTTGTGGGGCCATGAACATTATTTTCCCAAAAGATATTCCCTTACTTGGTTTTTGGATGTCGGGGCAGAGAACAGAGAAGCATGCTTCACATTTCTATTGGTACCCCGTCTACATGTTTTATAAAGAACCATCTTGAGGTTTTGGTTAAAACAAATCAGAACTCACTTAACAGCATAAAGGTGCTCTTCAACCTCAATAGCTAAATAAAATCCTCTATTGATGGAGTTTTATTTTTATCTCTGTTACATACTGCTTAGTGATGCATTTAAAAAAAAAAAAAACATGAAGTCCTTTAACCTCTGACACTGAGCCTCGTCGGGCCCTCAGGCCACATCTTTTAGCATTGCATGAAAGTTTGAGTTGTTTCTCTAGTGCCAAATATCCTTTCAATCTTTCATCCAAAAATCGTATGAAAGGATCTTTTAGGTTTGCCAACTTCTTAACATAACCTACATTTAGACGGTGGTGTTTCTTCACATGCAGTAGACAGTCAAATCTTCTCTTTTGACTCATAGTTCTTTATTACATCTGCATCTTCTGTGATGCAAACTTAGGAACCCCTACCACATGGCGGCACCCATGTTGACCTGCTCAATTAGTGCACGCACAGAGGCAAAGGCCTTAATAACAGATGGGAGTGCCAAGGTAGCTACTTATGGAGATCGTTTAATCCTCGGGATATGGAGCCCGTCGTCTCGCATGCAGATTCACGAACCACCACGTTATCCACTGCCAGACATTGTTTTGTATTAGCGTCACACTCTCTGCAGGAGGATAAAGGCGGGTCCCCTTCTTATTGGCTGGCACATTAACAGCAGCCTGCCCCAGGGTATAATGTGTGTCAGAAATGAACTGAAAGCTCTACAGTTTGAGAAGCTGTTGACATCTTCAATCCTGATGAACAGTTTTAAAGGGGAGAGGGGTCATTCAGATTGGAGGGGTTGCTGGGCGAATGAACACATTCCACCTTTATACCCAGCTATAATTAGTCTCTTCACCTTGCTCTTCTGCATGTACTTTGTCTCGATGCAGATGCACCGTGAAAAGGAGAGCTCCTCTTCCTATCTCTTTATTGCTCCGCTTTTTTTTTCTCACCATAAAAGTTCCTTCTGGAAAGACTTGCCTGTGCCGTCCCCTACACACGTCCTTCTCCTCACTTCCTTTTGTTCTAATTAACCCCGGGGCAGATATTGTGCCTCTAATGGAGAACTCCCATCCTCTCCATTCAGCAACTTGTTTCTCCTTCTCTTTTTTCCTCAGATATCACAACCCAGGAAAACAAGCAGCTTTTCGTATGCCCCCCCACCTATTTCAAAAAACAAACAAGGAAGCACCTTTTTTTTATTCATGCCACGCTTTGGCAGTGTCCCTTTGAATGGCTTTCAGAACTCCCCGCTACTATAATAAAGAGGGGGGGCAGTCAGCTTGTTCATTTTTAAACTCACTTACAGATTTGTGGTGGCAGTAAACAATGGGTATTCCAAACATTTTGCTCCTCAACCTAATTGTGACTAAATGTTCAGAGACACATCACTCTCCCTCTCTCCTCAGGATCCATGGATCTGTTGACTGCCTGTCGGAACTCTCCTCCTCGCGCCATCCTTTCAGCGGTGAGACTTCTACCTTTTATAGCAAGCGTCTACTGAAATGTATTTGAAATGTCATGGCAATTATTATGCTGTGAGTGCCCGTGAAGCTGCTCTAATGCAGGAATGTGTGTGGGAGTACTTGACTCTTGTGATTGCCTTGCAGGGACGATCCGTCGCACTTTCAGCACATCATCGGCCATCGCTGCCTCCAAGGAGACGAGCCGGAGGAGTCCTGTCACCAGGTGTGGCTCTTTTCTGCACAGCCCTCTCTTTCCACCCTCATCTTCATCGCAGGCAGCGGCAGAATCAATACCGATAAGACGCAGCGGTATTAGTCGGCAAAGGTTCCTCTTTTAAATGGCCAATAGATGATTGTGGTTAGAACGAGAGAGAGCCATTGAAGATCAATCATTCAGACATCAAGCTGCCATCCATCTCACACTTACCTTAAGATATCCTATCACACTGACTGCATACCTTTACTCATAAATCTTTTTTGCTGTATTTTTTCCTCTGCTGCCAAAATTCATCTTAAAAACCAACAAGAAATCGCTCTAACCCTCACCGCCGGCGCTGGAGTTCACTGAGTGGGGCTGTTCCCGGGAGCGCACCAGGTTCCGCACCCCCGCTGGGCTCCGCCGCCCCGCCTGCCTCTGGGCAGGTCTGCCTCCACGTGGGCATGCAGGTCCTGCTCACCAGTGCCAACGACATGGCCTCCATCCGCTACCTGGGCCCCGCGGACTTCGCCCCGGGGCTCTGGCTGGGCCTGGAGCTGCGCAGCCCCAAGGGGAAGAACGACGGCTCTGTGGGGGGGCGGAGCTACTTCAGCTGCCGGCCCGGGCACGGGGTGCTGGTCCGGCCCAGCCGTGTCACCTACAGGGGCCTCAACGGGGCCCGCCTGGTGGACCAAGACAGCTAAGGACTGTGGGAAGGGGTTGGAGGGACATTTAAAGAAGTTTTGTCTTTCTTTTTATGATCTTCTATTCAATGCAAAAAATATAGGTTTAAGCGTCTTTAATATGCATTACATATAAATTGCTTATTTCTCATTTACTTAGTTATTCCTTTATATTACTTTACATTACTTTACATTACAGGTCACTTAGACACTTTTATCCAAAGTGACTGACACAGGAGCAGTCTGGGGGAAGTGGACACAACATGCTGACTCCAGTGGGACTCGGACGTTCTCTCCACTGATCCAAGATCAGATCCCACTGAGCCACAGCCTCTTTCAGAGGAGTTGTAAGTTACAGCAATAAAACTACCTATTAAGAGTTCAATGTAAAAATACTCAATTCAATTTGGACAAAAATATGAGGTAAAGAAAGCACTTTATGAAATGAACTATACATTCTTATTAGAATTAGTCAGGGCAGGATACTAGGGGGGGGGGGAGTCTGAATAAGACATACAACACTGCACTACTTTGAATCTGTTTGCACTGAGAAAGAATATCAATGACAGATCAGAATGAGATTAGGCGGATGGTATGGATGTGCACACATGAAAAAGTGTTTCTAATACCCAAAGCTAATTTTGATCACATGCAGGAGAGATTTTATCAGATCATTTAGATAATGGTAATGTAGCTTACTCTCCAACAAAGTGTGCATGTGTCTGTGATTATGTGCGCATCTGTGTGTGCATGTGTGTATTCATTCAGAGCACTTTGAAACAAGAGAGATGATTAATGCCTGCAGATAATTGATGGAAGTTGAGTCAAATCTGGATTTTCTAGTTTATGAATCAATGTGAATGAAACGGGATTTAATTCAGACGCGACCTCCAGCAGAATAAATCTGCTTTAACAGAAGTCATGTCCTCCCACGTACAACAGTTTTTGCTACAGTAGGGCTGCGGTAGGCAGGAGTCTTTGCCCTCAATTGGGAGAAAAACAATCCATAATAACCTTTCAGCATATTATTATCCTTAGGTCTGATACCAGAAAGCCGGAAAATCTTAAAGGGAGAGTTGCTATTCAAGCATTGGGGACAACTGTATTTGCTACAAATGAACCGGGAAAAAGAAGACTGACGTACCAACAAGGGGGGGGGGAGAATGTGTTTAAGCCCTGACAGCTTTTTACTACAGTATGATATCTTCCATATGTTGAAGACCCCACTTCAGAGCAGGGGTATACATGTTTTTTACGGTTGATTAAAGCAGCTCGACAGAGGATATACGCAATCATCTTGTTTGAAGGATCGCGCTGGCTGTCGGAGCCTCTCTGCAGAGAGCAAGCCATCGATTGGGCATGTGGAAAACAGGCCCACTGTTCAGCAAAACACTCATGTGCCACCCAATTAAAGCTCAGGCCCCAACAAGAGGAGCAGAATCTCCAATGGCCTTCATTGATCCGTCTGCAGAGCCTGGTGGAGGCAGTGCTGGTCAGAGATCAGACAGATGAAATGCATTTCTGAGATGCGATTGAGATATTTCAACCCCACAGAAAGCTAATTTGCATAAATGCCATCCCTGTGATCACTACTGTGGCATTTGTAAGAGTTTCAAATCTCAGCTTCAGAAAAGCTCGCATATCTTTGGTGTATCCCGATTGTATTACAGCATGAGTACTTTCAGATTCCACTGGTGTGTATGACGGTGTTTTGGCGCTGTGTTCCTGTGGGTAATGGATTGTTGTTTTTCATAAAATTCCTGATATTTGACTCTGAAGTGTGTGAGGGGGATTTGGTCTGATGCATTTTTCATGTTGTGGAAAATAACAGTATTTGTAAAAAATAAAATATAAGACTATTCTAATTTGACTTCTTATCTCTGTGACTATTTGTTCTCTGGCTCTGGGCCTTTTATCGAGTGTGGTTGTGCTAATGAAAAAGAGATTTTTCTCTACTTCCTTGGACTGTTCATAAAGTGCAGAGGAGTGTTGCCTTCAGGGAATGAAAATGAAATCGTACAAGCACTTTGTAATGGTTACACGTCTGTTACCATCTGATTCCACCGGGGCTCGTCTCAGCCAAAGCACAAACAGCCTGCTGCCGAGTACCATTGTTCGCTTTCCGCCAACCCGGCACACACAGTCAAGCTTCAGTGTGGGTGACACTATTATGCCATGATTGTGGAATAAGTAGATGTTTGAATGGTTGCTTTTAAATAGTTTTCTTTGCCTATTGTTCTTTTTGTAGTCCAAACAGGAGAAAGGAAACCAAGGGAAGCAGTGATTGTCCAAACGTCTGACCAAGAGATTTATTCAAAGGTGAGATTAAATGAAATGGTAATATCTGGAATAAAAGTAACCATGTTCAAGTAGACCACTTATCATACTATAACTCAGTGGTTTGCCAGCACTTGGAGACAATTTGTTCAACTTGAGATTGTAAAAAGAGCCACTGAGAATAAAAACCCTTTTATATATAACGACTGCAAAGCTTGGTTTGCCATGGAGAATAAACTGTATTTGTCCTTAATAGGTTCAAAAGGGGAGGGGGAGGAGGAGGCGGGGGAGTTGCCACAATGATGTCAGATTGCTTATTTAAATTACAACTTTCCAACTTTTAAATAGTATTCACGTCATAATAATTGCGATTGGATAGTTCTCCTGAAGGCTCAGATACATCCTTCTTGGCACTAATACAGAAGTGTCTGAAAACTAAATAACCATGTGTTGCTGGAGGAGCCCAGAGTCTGTCTCTGCATACTAAGAGCAGTGTCTCCAGTCTGTCGGGCTCCACCAAAGCTGGACCTTGTCACTGGTTCTGTCATTTCCATTGGCCGGCTGTCAACATGCAGGGGGAGACGAGAGTCCTGTTCGGTAACCTCAGGACTGCATCCCTCTTTTTTCTTCTGGATGTCATGTTACCACCGTGCACATCTTCGTGTTATGTGTTTGAATTGGGGGTCAGCACCTCAAAGTCTGGGTTAGGCACCAATGAGTGAGTATAAAATATATAGATTTCATTCTGGACACGTCTCCCTGAGGCTTCTGGAGAGCTGCTGTGAAGCTCAATGTGGGCCGCTCCAGCCTTCTCCATCTTGGCAGTGCAAATTCTAAATGGGCCAATAGGTGAAGAGTGGTGGAGCTGAGGCGGGCTAAGGTGATGCAGCAGAGCACATGGCTAGCTTGTTAATACCTGAGACAGTATTAACCTGTTAAAATGGTGCCATGCCCTTAATTAAGTATACATTTAATCCTTAATATAATTCAAAGGGATGATTTGTATAAAAAGTCACAACTGTGCAGTTGTCATGAACAAATAAATTGGCTATCAAGACTAAAACGGTTTTACCAGGCTTTACATTTTTTTAATTTTACACAGGAAGTGAGCCGCATGTTGACATGAGGGTCTCCCCAGGGAGTGAGCCGCATGTTGAAGCAATCTTAGTGGCCAAACGGTCGCACTACAGCTTCCCTGTCGATTTGGACGTCATTGGGCCCAAAAATACTTTTTCACATTGACCTCTATTGAGAAAGAGAAGTCTGAAAATCAATGAATAACGTATTTTTAACTTAATGAACTACACAGTTCGTATTTAAGCCATTAGGGTTTAAAAGTTGTAAAATGCGCTGAAAGCCAAATCCAGAGTTATTTCCCCTCTCCTTTCGTTTGACTGAGTCGAGATGGGTCGTTACAATGCAGACTGGATGCTAGTTAAAGCTAAAAGCAAATGTGAACGCTCTATGGGCCCAGATAAGAGTGCTTTTGCTCCCGACGTCAAGCCATTTTGGCTTCATGCGCCACGGAACAGCATTCTTAGGAGTGAACGGGGTGCTGTATCCAGTTCTCTTTACCTCTTTATAATGCATGGTTGGCCTGCTTTCTGAGCCATTCTCAAGGGGCCATTCAAACTACTGCAGGGTTTGGCCCTTCCGTGTTAATTATTTTGCACCCAAGTTTGTCGCTTGGCAACAAGGTGGGTTTCAAGTCATCTGCTGGAACAAATGTGGAAGTACTGTAAAGTTCTCTTTATAATTAGGTTTTGTATTGTATCCTAGGTTATGTTTTATATACGCAAGAGCTACTGGCAGCAGGAACAGGACCTGGATAACCGGCTTAGCTCTTTTACCTTTTATGAAGTTTACAATGCTCTAAAGTTGTTTGTGAATTCAGACATGTTGCTTAGTGAGATCAGAAGTGGTTGTGTACTGGAACACTTTTCATTGAGAGGTGTTTCTAATGTGTTTGTCCTTCACATTGACATCCTGAGGAGACTATTAGAAACAGCTGAATACATTCAGCTCAATTTAGCACCATCTTCCTCAATGCTAAACTTATACAAAAACTGAACATTATAGTCATCTCCGAGGTCGCCTTCATGGCAGAACAGTGGGATTGGATTGCATTAGACAGTATAGTGTTTAAAGCTACCTTTTGTAGTCGGTAGTAGTGACTCATCACGTTGTGAATACCCCATGTATGTGATTCTTAGAGAAAGCAGTGCAGAAGAAAGAGGCTCACATACTGAGTTTCATTATTGTTGCTGATAGTGTGAGGGCTTAAGTAAAAGGCGTGTATATGTTAATGAATGCACTGAAAGCAGCTCGCAGAGAGCTCCACTGGATGAGCAAAGTTGTGAGATACAATGAAGCCTCTTAGTTCAGACTCTCATGGTGACGTGTTCATTATCACAACTTTGCTGTCTGAAAATCATAGCAGCAAAAATACCATGCTTTCTTTGGATATAACTTCTGGAATAATGGTTAGACTTCCCTGTGTTGCTCTTCTTTCTGTTTGGATACCCTGAGTCTTGTATTAGAATGGTTTGATGGTATAAATGATGTGAAGTTGAAACAAAGCTCAGACACATTGCACCACAGTGTGCTGAGTGCTCAGCTGCATCATCAGCACTCTGAGAGCGGAGATCCCCGATGGGAGACAAATGATCTCAGTAAGACTTTAGAGGAAGACTCCAGTGCTTTCTGACATGATGGAGAGCGGCACAGACACAGCTGGTGCCCGAGGAATACAGTTTGCTATCGCTAGCAAATACATCCTGGCAGCTGCACAAACCTCTACGTGTAGCGCCGACATGTTTACCATACAGGGATAATCCTACTGGGGTCTCCATTCACCCTGTCACGGTTTATGTGCAATAATGACCAGCTCACTGTACATAATCCTCCTTATGAGCTGTAATGGCTTGACTCAAATATTGATTTTAAATGAGTATATAACTATCTTATTCCAATTATTAGAAGGAAGAAAACAATAAATGTAGTATAACATATTCTCTATAATCTAAACAAGCATGTTAAATAGTCTCTAATTCAAACCACTTCCAATGACCACTGGCCAGGTTTTTCTCTGCTACAGCGAGAAAGATGATCCAGGGTTTCATCTTTCCCTCTCCTCATCCCCAGCATACTAATCTGCAGTGCAGCAGCTTGAGACTTTCTTTCTGGAGATCAGCAGCTTTCTCCCCGCAGATAAGAACGGAAGCAGTTGCATTAACTCCACCTCTCTAAAAACCGTCCAGCTCTCTTTAAAAATGTTGTCTAATTCTAATGAAAAATAAATTATTATTACATTAATCTCTCTTCAAAATCAGTATCCAAATGTAAAAAAGACAATGTCCATCTTTAAATAAAGAACATTGTCCACCTTTGTAAAAACCTAGTCTAATCTTAAAAAAAACCTTTTCTGATTCTAATGAAAAACATTGCATACTTCAAATAAAAAGACATCGTCCACCTCTCCTGAAAATGTTCCTCTTTTGAAATACATCCTCCATCTCCATTCAAAGTCATCGTCCACCTCTGATAAACTCATTCTCCAGCTCTCTTAGGGCCTGGCCATGGGGCTGCCGAGGCCTGTATCTTTGTTTCCACGATGCAGGTCATCCTTTATCAGAATGTTTCCCCATGTGTTTTATAAACGTCATCGTCCTCCTCCCCTGTCTGTTGCAGTGACTGAGGTTCCATACAGCGAGGGAGTGGATATTCCACTGCCAGCAGAGCAGCTAGCTAGCAGAGCAGCTAGCTAGCACAGAGCAGCTGTTGTTTACAGTCGTCTAAACAGGTTCCAGTGTGAGGATTCAAGGCAGGAGAGCAATCTCTGGAAACATCATTCTGGGATGGCGACACTTGCTTAATGTCAGTGGAAAGCAGTCGGCCATCTTTCTAAGCCTGTTTGATCTCCTCATGAATGTCTATAGAGACGTGCTCGCCTCTTGGCCTTTTGTTCGCACATTCTCTTCTGTACTCTCTCACAGAACGTACGTTGGCTACTGATTGAGCCATTGCACTGCCTCTGTAGATTTGCTTTTATCACATTTGTTTTCTGTCTGTGTTTTTCTTCTTTTTTCTTATAGTTTGTTTCTTATCTTTTACCTGTAAGGGGCAATAGAGTCAAACATTGAAAAGGAAAAGGAAGGCTACTCGGCAGTAAATCAAATCTGCCGTGCAATATTGCATACATAGGAGCCTCAAACTGTTTTAATCTACCACATACAGCTAGCTGAAGCCATGAAGGGAGACACACTGAGAAAATACATTTACACATCTTTTTATCAGAGATGTCAAATGTACGGTCTGCATGACTGTGAGGCGCGCCTCAATATGTAAACACTCTGAGAAACTAAACGCAAGTTCCGGTGAATGATGTTGTGATCGCTTCATTATCAAACCCAGCAGATGCTTTGTCTCCTGTAGGAGCGGCATGAGGTCAATATCAGAGGTTAATGGTAACGTGTACAATCAGGAGGACTACAATCATCCTGATTAAACAGTCTGGTCTGCTTCATTTGTAACAAATACAGACCATAACTAATGGCCGCTTGATTCTGATTTCTCTATGTTGGCTCAAGGAGC